AGCTCGTCCTATATTCAATCTAAGAGCACTAAACAAATATGTAACGGTCAAACCGTTTCATCTCATAAACATGCACAGCATTCCGAACTTCCTGCAACCTCGGGACTGGCTATGCAAAGTAGATTTGTCGCAGGCCTATTTTCACCTCAGTATAAAAAAGTCACAATGACGCTTCCTACGACTGATATACAACCAACAATTATTAGAGATGACTTGTCTTCCGTTTGGCCTGAGTACAGCCCCAAAAACCTTCTCCATACTGTCCAATTGGATTGCTCAAATGTTGCGGCAAAAATGGAACGTAAGAATCATAGTGTACCTAGACGACTTCCTTATTGCACATCAGAATCAAAATACCTTGCGCAACCATGTAAAACTTACGATATAAATGCTACAGAATTTGGGTTGGCAAATAAATTTCGAAAAATCGGTACTTTACCCTCAAAAGAATATAATTTATTTAGGTATAGACTGGAAACCTTGGGGGAATCTAAAATCCCTACCAAAGGAGAAGGTTATCGCCTTAGCAAAAAAGACGAATTATATACTCGAACAACAAAAAGTAACTGTCAAAGAGTTACAACAAATAGTAGGGATTCTAAACTTTGCCAGTTTTGTTGTGCCACGAGGACGACTCGATCATCGACAATTATTAACAATGATGAATTCACTACCACAAACGTCATCTCGAGCTTACCCACTAACGAAGGAAGCCAACAACGAATTAAAATGGTGGGTACAGAATTGCCATTTATCCACACCACTACATCACCCTCCTGCGGTGAATTTCTTAGCAACAGATGCTTCGGATCGGGCGTGGGGGGCACAAATAAACAATCTAGCTCTCTCGGGGACCTGGTCACCAGAGGAATAGAATCTCTGCAATCAAAAGATGTTGGCCATACTTCATGCTCTCCAAAGTTATGCTCCTCAGATAACTCGCAGCTCAATCCTAATTCAATGCGACAGCAAAACGGCAGTCGCTTATCTACAGAAAGAAGGAGGCAAATTCAACAATTATGCCGATCATTTAAGTCGCCATCGCCGACCCCCGGAGTGGCATTTATTACCTGCATGTGTGGAAGTAATCTTTGCAAAGTGGGGCAACCCAGTGATAGATCTTTTTGCATCAAAAACGGCACATGTAACAAGCAATTATGTGTCTCGAGATTTAACCGATCATCAAGCCTTATTTCACGATGCATTCAGCGTCCCATGGAATTATCCAATAGCATGGGTATTTCCACCCCCATATTTGGTTCCCAAAGTTAACTTAACTCACTTAAATCAGTCGACGGGGACATTTTTGTTAGTAGTTCCTCGGTGGGAAAAAGTATTTTGGCGAGCGGATCTGAAAACCCGCGCGCTATCAGCACCGTTTACTCTGAGGAACCTCAACCAACATCTAGTCGATACGTCGACAGGCCTCCCACCTCCGAAAGTAGATGAGATTGTACTGGAGGTGTGGAAATGTGGGGGTGGTCTTCAGCGATAGAATCATGGAACTCTGAACAACGCTCATTACTCAAAAACTCATGGCGTAAGTCTACTTTGAAAACTTACCAAACAGCATGGGCACGCTGGATTTCTTGGTGTAGAAATAAAAGTATCAATCCAACAAATCCAACTGGATCACAGTTAGCTCAATTTTTATGTGATCTACATTTAGTAGATAAATTATCTTATAACACGATTCTTCTACACAAATCAGTTGTTGCCACTTTATGTAATACCGATATGTTTTGTCAACTAAGTTCACATGTTCTAGTAAAACATATTTTAAAAGCAATTTCCCTAAAAAATCCAAAAACTTGTAAACCACCCATTTGGAATGTCAGTAAGTTGTGTCAATTCCTAAACAATTGCATAATAGATATGAATAATATATTTCAAGTATCACGACATACTGCCATTTTGTTACTACTATGCTCAGGCAGACGTATTCATGATTTAACGTTACTCAGGATAGATCCACCTTACTGTGTAAAATCTGATGATAATATAATTTTTTGGCCCCAATTTGGCTCAAAAACTGACAGCAGTACTTATAGACAATCTGGTTGGAAATTACTTTTAAATCCCGATAACCGTAATCTAAATCCGCTATTTTGGATAGAGAGAACTATATCTTTGTTAAAAGAAAGACGTGATGCTACAAAGTCCTTTAATTTATTCATTACAATTAGGTGTTGCCAAGCCTGCTTCACGAACCGTAATAGCTGGATGGATCAGAACGCTGTTAAAGGAAGCCGATATAGCAGCTACTCCAGGGAGCGTTCGATCAGCTGTAGCCTCTAAAAGTTGGCTAGAGAATCATTCTGTTGAAGATATTCTAGCTCGTGGGAATTGGCAATCTGTTAATACGTTCCAACAGTTTTATAGAAGAGAAGTTATTAGGAGCGATAATTCTGATACCATTACTCGATTGTTTAATCCAATTACTTGATTTATCATGGGTTTCGTTTGGTACAGACTAATAATTAATAAAATCATTATAATTTAGTTATACTTAATTTTGTTAGCACAAGTACATGAAGAACATAATAAATATTACATATATTTATTATGTTACCTAATTATATATAAAATAAAGACGAGTTTATTTTTGCTGTAATCTACTCATTATCACATTGGCGTTTCAATTACTTATTATTCAAAGTATCTAATTATATAGAGCAAGCAGGTATGGCATTGCATATACACCCCTAGTTTCTATTTCGATAACTTAATGCTTCACAAGTCCTGAGCTTTAAGCCCACCTTGTACCTTTGTGTATTAAAATTTAATTAAACAAAGAAGTAGTGGCGTCACCAGGCAATAACAAACAGGTCTCAATGTATAAAGCTTCCAGTGACGGTCAAGTACTTTAATAGCAGCGTTTTACCTGAAATAAAACGCATATTAAAATACTTACCTCACTGGAAGCTTTAATTTTATTTTGCCTGGTGAAACATTGAGTCAATGACGATAGGAAGCACATTTTTACAAAAGTAAAAATCGTGCATCCCCGCCAGGTGTCGCCACTGAGCCGGAAATTCCGGTATAATAATAATAATTTAGGACTGGCTAACGACGGAAACGGAAATGCTCTCTCAATGTATAAAGCTTCCAGTGAGGTAAGTATTTTAATATGCGTTTTATTTCAGGTAAAACGCTGCTATTAAGAGATAAGTTTAGAGCATCGTTTCTCAACCCCACAAGGGTCGAGATCCTTGTGGGGGCGGGGGAGGGGGTCAGGTTTGTTATTAATCTGGTCGCAGTTTGTTGAAAAATAATAATAAGACCTAGAAAGATCCATTTAATGTAACGTAGTGTGGTCGTCACTTTTTGATCGAGTACTAATTAGTAATTAGTTATAAACCAATAATTAAAACTTTATTATAATATTATAGTGACGAAGTCGCAAAACTTCTTACTTAACTTTTTGGCTTTTTCGTGAGTCGCGGCAGAAAAATGGTTGCAAAACAATGCTTTAAAGAAATGGTACTTCAGAATCGGCCCCTATGTTTACTTTTCATCTTAAGCAGGCAAAACTGCAGGATTCAGCTAGTATTCTATAGATATAGAAATAAATTCGGGCAAAAAATAAACGGTTTAATAATTCGCAGTATGAATGCCACAGATAATATAATACTATGTCGAATACACACTTTCCTCGCTTCCATCAACCGACATTTGTATTCACTATTGTCATAAAAATAATTAGAATTACCATTGCATCATAAAAATAATTGGAACTTACTACTTATACTGCCGTTACTGTACCAATTAACAACTTAGAATGACTAGTTAGGTAACTACTATTGAAAAAACCGCTGTATCTACTAATCATGTTTAACGCGAGGTTTTATCGTCATTGTTTATCGTGGAATAATCTCCAAAACATTATTGCTTCCTAATAATAAAATGTGGTGTAGAGTTTACAACATAAAAAGTAACAATACAAATTGCTTACGATAGCGCATGAATGATTATACTGATGACAGCTCTATAACTACGTAACTCTTTATAGTTATTATACAAACTTGTTGATTGTAAGTAATTAGTATTTTTAAGAATATGCTATTTTTATTTATTTATTCACAGGAAAACCAGCACTACACTAGAGCAAATAGATACAGTTTAGGATCGCAAACCAAGCCACTAATAGGTTTCCACAAGTAACAACAATAAAGATAAAAGGCGCTGCACACAAAGCAATAAAAATAGGAATTAACAAAAAAAATACAAACAAACAAAAGGAATGAAAACAATAATTAATGACGAATAAAATACAAAGTAAAAATTAATTATAATTAAATGTAAATATTTGATTAAACTATGGCCTTCTTATCCATACAATAGGTATTCAAACTGACTATGAACCGAAAAATTGCTTACTCAGTTGGTCTCTCGCTGATATTATATTTTTCGAAAAAAATTTATATTAAGAATTCTAGAAAGAGTAATAAAGTTGTTGCTAGCTCGCTAAAGAAACGAATTTTGTCTATAATTCGATGACACTACTGGGACAAATAGAGTAGAATTATGCCTTCTAGACTTGATTGGTACATTTAGTTTTAATTTCTGCAATGGTACAGGGCAATCAATCTCAGCGGAAGCTATCCTCATCAGATAAACAATATCAGCGATATTTCTGCGCTTTTCGCGTAGGAGAAAGTGGTGTTTTTTACAGAATTCAAGATACTTTATATATATATATATATATATATATATATATATATATATATATATATATATATATATATATAAATACATATGTTCGCTTTGTTATCTAAATTAATTTGAATGATTCATTTAAAAGATACAGGCACAGATATGAATTTAAACAGATATCGCGATGCAACTACGCTCTTACTTTATACATAATATGTCAATATTTGGCACAAAACAGGCCCAATAAACCCTAAATATGAGTTTCTACGTGAAGAGGAAAATATGTTTATAACCGTGCTTGATATTTTTTTGTAATTATAATTAAGTATCAATAAATAACTTACCGTGATTTATTACAATGTTGTGGTACCGAATTCAAATAATGGGAAAGTAATTAGAATTCGATACCCCTGAAATCAAGGTCACTGATAACGTTATGAATAAACAAAGAACACATAAAATTTTGTTTAGAAAAAAAAAACAAATGCAAGATACGTAGCTTTTTCCCGAATATTCTTTTTAAATAGATATATTTAAAAAACTAATAAGAATTTTTAATGATATGTGCTAATACAGACAACTGAAGCACACTGATGCAAAATACAGATAAGTTATCGAAGGCGTCACGTCTTCACATTCACAATAACCAACGTTATCTGCAATGATAACGAGTCTGTATCGGAGACTTATCGGAAATTGACTTTTAGGTTAAATGATTTTTTTATAAAACAAAAGAAAATTTTCGAGTGCTGACAAAGTTACAAATGGGTCACATTTGATATGTAAATTTTTAATGTTATATAATTTTGTATTATATATATAGTATTTATAGTATTATAGTTGTATATTAATAAGCTCCTGTCTTCAGTTTTCCCCTACAATTTATTGAAACGCCCCATATTATATGGGCGTTTCAAAAACGTGCCTACACACGTTTAAAAAGTTGGTAACGCACAACCAACTCCTCTTGTATTGCAGGTGCTCATAGGTGACGATAGCAGCTTTCCATAAAAAAAATGTTTTTGGACTATTGCAAACGTTTTTAAAAAATGCCCAATTGGTCAATCGGTCCAGATATTCTTTAATGTTGCGCTGAAAACTGAATGATTTCATGTCGAATTTTTTTTTGTTTCAAAAACACTATCATTCTGCGATGTCCCTAAATGGGTGCCAGCCATTATGAGTATTTACGATCACATGTAGAGATTGTAAAAGCGGAAACATACTGATAATATTGCAAAAAATAGTAATGCTGTCTGAGCCGTATTATTCAAAACCAGTGTACTATTTCAAGGCCAAAGGAAGAAATATTGTTTTAGCTAAACGATAACGACTATCCGTGTCGACGCGTATTGTCCATATTATTATTTGAAGCTTAATGTTAATTTTATTAGCATAAATAATACAATGGCTAGAGTTTTTTCAAAGGTCGTAACAACTCTAGCCCTCATAAACAAAGGACATACGAGTAATTCAATAGATATTTTATCGCTGCCATATGCATGAGATAGGCCGAAACAGCAACAGAAGTCGTCTTTGTACAAAAGTCGTCTTCTTGGGCACCTCTGTCCGATGTGTCTTTCTATCTTCATGCAGTTGTGTAAAAGGACAGTATTTGGTAGTGGAATTACTTCAAGTAAAAACCCCGCAGAGAACAGTCTTCACTTTATCAAAATGGGCAATAACACCTTCTCGTGGGCGATGTAGTGACGACTCTCGGACTCGGCAAACTAGAGGGCGAGGACAAATTATAACATTCTTGTATATATTCAAACTACCCACACAAGGTGTTTAAAATATTACCATTAATTTACGGGAGAATTTTACCAGATACATTGAATATTTTTCTCAAAGAAGCAAATGTTTGAGCTTCCATACTAACATGGTTGTTGAAAGCCAATGTGCTATATATACGCTGTATATATAAAACAAAAGTACAAGTAGAATCGTGATGTCGTCCCAGCAGAAAATGTGCTACCCTTTCCTTTCCCTAATACATCATCAAAGCCTAACTGTAGTTGACGACCTGCCTGCCAAGCGTGGCAGTTAATAGTAAAATCCCCTTTATGGGGCAGGCCTATGTTCGGTAGTGGATAGTTACCGGCTGATATGATAATATTACGACATGGTAGAATACCTAGGTATAATAGTAACGTTACAGGCGTACCGCATGTAACACGGCAGTTTTGCGACACACTAGACTATCCGGCCGTAAATGTGGCGTAACCGCGTAACGTTAACGAACCGCTTCCGTCTTTTGGCCTAATAACTACTGTAGGTCCTTTACAAAATCCTTATTATAATAGTATAAATATAAAAATGTTTGTTTCTTCATGACACTTTAATGACAGTAAAAAATTATGAAATTTGGCATTCACATAGTATTTGGGATGGAGAAGAATAAACGTACTTTTTATTCAGAGTAATCAACATAATCTTTGTCATGCAGATGAAATCACGAATAAAAGCTAGCATGTGGATATGTTTTTGTAGTTTTTTTTTTATTGTAGACTTGTATTCTAAATAAATCTCTAAATTATAGGGAAATCTCAGTCGAAATTAGTTGTGTGGTTAAGAGGAAATAAGTACTTGAACTAATTACAGATTCCCAAGTTGTATATCCAAGGCTATATTTTATTTTCAAGGTTTTTATTTTTATTTTTTAACTTATTTTGATTTTAGTTTTCATAAAAGATATGTCAATGTTCACTAATTTTAGATACAGGAGACATGATGTGAGATGATTTGTGACTGATGGTTGTTATTTTAAATCAGGGTTGTCCTTATTATGTTTGCACACCAATAAACAAAAAGGATTTATGTAGATTTTTTTTATATATATTTAAGTCCATAAATTTATTAGTTCTTCTTTAATTTATACTTCATAATTAGTTAATAACTAAACACAGTGCATGTGAAAATGACTTATTTGTCTTTAATTTTTATAAGAATAATGGTTAAATATGTCCTTTCACAAATAAATACCCATCATGAGATTTATTTTTAAGCCAAGATTTATTAAAAATAAAATAACATTCTTCCGAAATAATTTTGCAAAATTTTCATATTTATGACAAGCTGCGTGTGGCACAGGCCATGCTTTTGATAGCTTTATATTACATAAAAGTTTTATGACAAGTATAGAGTAATGAAGTACAAAGTCATAAAAAGAAGACATTCAATATTTTTCTTACTAGTTATAGGCCAGTGATAGAACATGAGGAATAACACCAGCCACATGATTAAATTATATTGCCAAAGTAGCCAGCAAGAGATGGAGAATGTTGGCACAGGCTTGTTCAACATGATGCAGTGGCGAGAAGGCCTATACTTAGTAGTGGGTAGATGTTGATTGACATTATGATAAGTTACATCCGTATGTTATTATATTTATGGAAATATTGTTTACATGTATGTATATATATTACAGAATTGAAAATGCTGGTTTCTGAAAATTTTTCTTGTTAATCTGTTCATTACATATAAAGTTTTAAAAATTACACTTAAAAGAGGATAAATTAATATTTCCCCCAAATGTATGTAAAAATGTTCTATAATACACAGAAATAGTGAGTACATCCAGTATTTCATGAGAACATCCTGAACACATTTTTTTAAATATATTGGCAAGGAAATGGGAAATACCCCATACAATGTGAATATAATCTATACAAATATTAGAAATAAATGAGTTGATTGACTGACTCATCATAAAATGAGGAAATATTCATAACTTGACTACCTTGACACAAATAAATGGATACAAGAACTTAAAAATCACAGTACCTGGAACTTCTCGAACTGTTCCCGCTCAGCGTCCAGGCTGTTCTTCTTCAGCTGAAGCACTCTTGGCAAAGATAACGACGCCATAGATCTTAAATCTATAACACATGCAAAACACACCTACAAAATTGACCCGAACACTGCGATAAAAGTCAGAAAACGGGCTGCTTCTTTTAATCACTTTTAAAATTTTAATTCAAAGATAAACTACTAAACAACTTTTTAAAATAGTATATTAATATGCAATAAGAAAGTATAATGATAAAATATTATCGTAAAATTGTAAATATAATGCAACAAATAAGTAGGTACATAAAACGCGTCCATTCATAAAATTTTGAAACTTCAAACTGATTGACGACTGAATGTGATTGAGAATTCCAGACAAATTATCTTTTTGAAGACTAGGCAGCATGGTCTCCGACCTTAGCCTGTTCCAAACGGAACAAACGTACTAAAAAAAAAAAAAAAATGTGATTGAGACTGACTGCCCTGACTGTACTGATTTGAATGACAGTAATTAAACTTAACTTATGCAATCGTCAATCACGTCTCATTTGTACAACAATCCATTTTGTCAACATTCTACTGTCAATCTGTCAGTCAGTAAGTTCTGCGCGCTTGCTTTTTTATTCCGCTTGTTGATTCTTTCTATTAAAAAAATACTTTTACACAATAATTCATTAGAAAGAATTCCAGTGAAAAATAGGATTTATATTTTTGTTATATCATAAAAATTATTAATAAATTTAAACAATGGAATTCCTGGAGTACAATGATGTTTCAGCAGAGATTAAAGGAAATATGGTAAAAACACGTTTGTATTTTGTATTATCCATTATTTTTATTACTTTCAATACTAACTTATCACATTTTAGGTCCCAGGTCGTCTAAAAATGACAGATCAAAATATTGTATTCAAGAACAGCAAAACCGGCAAAGTGGAGCAGATCTCTGCTAATGATATCGAGTTGGTTAATTTTCAAAAGTTCATTGGTTCCTGGGGCTTAAGATTGTTTCTCAAGAATGGCACACTCCACAGATATGGTGGCTTTAAGGAGGGTGTAAGTGTATAATTATTTATATATACAGCTTAGTTTCATAAACATGATCATCGGCATGGAGATGTTAGTATTAGATAATCTATTTGTAACCTTAGAAATCCTAAGCTGAACATGACACTAATTTGTACTATTTATCCTGCAGGATACCAGTCTACATAAAAAGTTTAAACTGTAGGCAAACTTTACAATTTTTTACCTGTGCACATGTCCATAAAATAGTTTAGTAAAATATTTCTATTTAGTATAACCATTTTAATTTAAATTTTTTAAAAACTAAAACCCCCACTGTACATGTGTTATAACATGATTTCATATTTTCATTTAGTATCAAGTTTAACAGGATTATCTTAGGTTATAATTGACTTTAGTAATATTTTGTTTTAATGAGACAAATTATTTTATTTTCTCTTGACTGCTTTAAATACTCATAGGATAGGAAAACTTATCATTTTTATGATAAAATTTTGCTTTATTTTGTGAGTTGATATCTTAAAATGGGAACAATTAGTATTCTTATTATTATAGCTTTATTTCTTATATTTCACAAGTTTAAGTTTTTTTTTTACAATAATTACAATTTTTTTTTATTTGGATTTATGGTCTCCCTTGGGTAAAAGCCTCCTCCATCATATTCTACTTATCTCAATCTATAGTTGTAGTAGTAGTGTACTACATCCAATTTTTTCTGTTAATTCTATTATTTCATTAACTCATCTTTTTTCTGTTTTCCAACACATATTTTTATCATTATTAATAATTTACAATAATATAGTTTTATTATTTAAACAACAAATTCAGGAACAAGAGAAAGTGGCGAAATTTTTTAAAACTAACTACAATAAAGACATGTTGGAAAAGGAGCTTTCCTTAAAGGGATGGAACTGGGGAACGGCAAAGTTCAATGGTGCAGTCCTAAGCTTCAATGTGGGCTCCAATACAGCATTTGAGATACCCCTGCATTATGTATCTCAATGTAACACTGGCAAGAACGAAGTTACACTGGAGTTTCATCAGGTAATGTCAATGCCACTATATATCTTATTTCATTGTAAGTATGCATAACAACAATAAGTATCAACCAGGAACTGGTTACCTGGAGTCAGAAGATTATACATATCTTAAACTGCATAGGATCTATAAAATTATAGAATAAGACAAGAAAAACACAAAAGATCCTAATAGGTTTAACAGTTTGTAGGCTGACTCCAAAGGAAAATTAAAGATATGTCTTATATTTATATATGTCTATATGTTTAATTCTGCCAGCCAGAGCAATTACATTTTATTGATTATATTACAACATGCTAAAATGGCCAAATTAAAAGTACCTGTAACTGGCGAGTGTAAATGAATAGATTGATGTATATGTTATAGAGGCCTGTTTGAATCTGAGTATTTAGCATTCCATTGTTTTGCTTCTTGAGTGAAATGCCACGCTATACAGGTATATATATACAGATGTATGCACATGTATATGTGCATATGTATGTATGCTATTCCCAGTAATGTGAATTATTCATTTAAATAGGTATGGGTAGTTTTGTATAGACCAGTGACATTATTGATGATCTCTAGCTTTGTTTCAGAGTGTATATAAAACTATCATCAGGTAGACCACATTAGAAGCAGTCTAGAAACTCTTGATAACAGAGGGTAATACCCTCACACATGATGTAGCTATAGTACGAGGAAATTTGGCACAATTGATTTGTCATACTTACTTCTTTAATTTCCAGAATGACGATACTCCCATCTCTCTAATGGAAATGCGTTTCCACATCCCAACTAATGAGCTGGCGGGAGACATGGACGCCGTGGAGGCTTTCCACCAGCAGGTTATGAACAAAGCCAGTGTTATCTCTGTCTCTGGTGACGCCATTGCTATATTTAGAGAGTTACAGTGTCTCACACCTCGGTATGTTATGATTTTATTTACAAAAATAATTTGATATAAACATTTTTGGTGGATGATAATGGAATGGTAACCCCACCTGTGCTATCATAGTATCATATAGTAAATTCTTGTAGATTTTGTCACGATAGGCTAACTGACCAGCTTTAATCCTCCCATATCTTCCCTCACGGGTGCCCTGCTTATTGTATACTGTAAGCGCAAGCTGAGTTACAATTTCATTATCACTCATTTAAAAAAAAAACAGGATATTTTGTTAATATTGAGGCCATTTACTTGAGCATTTAATTGAGCATATTTGAATCTAATATGTAATTAATTAAAGTAATTTTAGTCTAATGAATTTTTATCTTATTAAATTTATGACGCGGCATGTTCATATGGGAGACTTAAAATTTATTGAGATGTGACCACTCTTTAGAAATAAATGTTTAATCTTACTAGTAGAAAACTCCCTTAATAGGATGTCGTAATTTCGATTTCGCCTTGTATTTAGTAACTTTTTTCTCACTACTTCATACGCGCTGCTTTCAAAAGTAGGAAAACAAATGAAGTAAACCACTTCTGAAGGCGTATCAAGATAAAACATACACCATATTTTAGGTTAGACCTTCAGAAATACAATTGTGAAAAGCGCAATTTGATACCGTAGTTTCTGCATGATTGCTAGAACAAATATACAAAGTTAAAAAAAAAATACTGTTTTAGCCTCCATTAGTCTTATTAAGACTCAAATTGATTTTTCTTGTTTTTTTATTTACTATTGAAAGGGTTGATCGATCATATATGTCCCATATACAGATGTTATCTAGTTAGAATTTTATTATTAGTAATTATTACTATTTCTTACAGTGGTCGCTACGACATCAAAGTGTTTCAAACATTCTTCCAACTGCACGGTAAAACGTTTGACTACAAGATCCCAATGTCGACGGTGCTCCGACTATTCCTGCTGCCGCATAAAGATACACGGCAAATGTTCTTTGTGGTGTCCCTCGATCCGCCCATCAAACAAGGTCAGACGAGGTATCATTATCTCGTCTTATTGTTTGGTATTGAGGAAGAAACTAGTTTAGAACTGCCATTCACAGAGTAAGTATTATTAAATTATTAATCGAAATAATATTTTAAGACTCAACCTAAGAAAATATAAGTGTTGTATTAAATATTTGTAAATTGGCAATAAATATTTGGTGTGTGATGAATACCTATTATTTCAGTTTTTCTTTATTTGTTAAAAAGCCTTGCATTCATTGACTGCTAACAATACATTTATATATTCGTTTAGAATTACCCTAACTTTATATCTTTATTTATAAATATTATTAACTTTACAGAGAAGAATTACAAGAAAAATATGAAGGGAAAATCACAAAAGAATTGTCAGGACCCACTTATGAAGTATTAGCTAAGATCATGAAGGTTATTATAAATAGAAGAGTTACGGGACCTGGTGATTTCCTAGGGTGACTATTAATTTTTCATTGTTAAATGCGTTTGAATAATTTAAAGAGAAAAAAACTAAAAAATAAATTATTGGTAAAAAATAAAATATTGGTTACAAAAGAAATCTCCAAATGATATCTGAAATAGCAAAGAAGTTCGTTTTATATACTATCTTTAGTATTTACTGTTATCAAATTTCTAAATTCCAAATGTATGTTTCTGTCACTAACTTTATTTTGTATACATATTGTTGTTCACATGTTATTGAATTTATAATTATTAATGCGAATAAATATAAAAAACAAAACAAAAATCAACAGTTTGTAAACAATCCAAACTTGGTGTGGTTTCTATTAATAAATTCTTTTTAATTTTGGTCAATATAAATATATTTTTTCAGACACCACAAAACACCGGCGATAGCATGCTCGTACAAGGCAGCCGCTGGGTACCTGTACCCTTTAGAGAAAGGTTTCATCTATGTACATAAGCCACCAGTTCATATACGTTTTGAAGAGATCGCCTCTGTCAATTTCGCTCGAGGTGGTGCCTCCTCCACAAAGTAAGTATCTTTAGAGTTCCATGCTGTGTTATAAAAGAATTCCATTGATTAAGTGACATTTCGATATATTGTCTGTTTTTTTAACAGTCATCCTTATTTCAGTAGTTATAAATTCTAAAAAGTTGAAAAAAAAAGTTCCGAACATTTTGTCAAATTTTTTTTTAAACATGGCAATTATTTTTTGTTTAATTTAGAAGATGATATAGTTGTGCGAAATTTTAAACATACATTGTAAATAAAATTTCATAAAAACTGTTTAAATTTTTTTAACGACATTAAATAATATTTCACTAACAAAAAGTTGTCGACTCATTCGATAGGAAGAAGTCATTCAATTTTTGCCATTTAATTTTAAGACATTTGCGTTAGTTTGTCGGGGCATTTCCATATATAATTTTTTGATTGAGCTATTGTGCGTCGCAAGATCAGTCAAAAATTGTTTGGATCATTTCAATATGATTGTCACTTGCTTTGTGCTTAGGAGAATTAGTAAAACTGTCATCCAGCAAACCATATAACCAAAGGCGTTTTAATCAAAAGAGACACCATCTTCAATCAACAGACGAAAATTAACAGCTTGACTAAATTACAATATTTTATAATATTTATTTCACAGATCGTTTGATTTTGAAATAGAGTTGAAGTCTGGTAGTGTTCACACATTCAGCAGCATAGAAAAGGGCGAGTACGACAAACTGTTTGATTACATCACGTCCAAGAAATTGCATGTGAAGAACACTGGCAAGAATGTAAGCATTTTTTATACAATGTTTAATTACAACACACTATACTTTATTGATATCTATGTTACCCATCATGTCATCTCTAAAGACTAACCCCCTTATTCATAAAAACTAAAACCTACAAATATATTTTATCTATTGTACACATACACTGTTTTAACACTTTCTTTCAAATTAGGAATTAAACTTAAAAGAAAGAGACAAAACGAATCAATAGCTAAAGTAGGTTTATGAAAGGTTTGACGTTTTTATGAATAAGGGAGTAAGATGTTATCTTGCCTGCCATATTGCTTTCTCTTTCTACTCATTGGGTAGCTAGTAGATAAAGCAAAAAGGCATAAAATAAGCCAATACACATATATACGTTTTAGAGTACAATATAGAATAAATAAATTGCACCCTTCAAATCGAAACTGCATTGCAAATACATATGACTTGCCTACAAACTGTCCTTCAACTTCTCTCTAGTTTTATTTTCCAAGCTTTGTTCATTATGTGTATACATTGTAAACAACTAAGGTATATTATTATTTCATGAACATAAAATTTAAATACATATTTAAATTTTTTAAATTTAATCTACTCGAGTTTCTCGATAGGTACATTTTATTCATTTTAAAATAATAATTATTATATTGCTATTTATTATTATATTATAGTTAATTGTGTTACCATTAATGTGTCGCTATTACTTTGCTTAATAAAATCTACAAGAGTTGCATTAAGTTAATGAATAACACTGTGTGGTGAACAGGACAAAGCGCTGTACGACGACGACTTCGGCGACTCGGACACGGAGAAGGAGCCGGACGCGTACCTGGCGCGCGTGAAGGCGGAGGCCAAGGAGCGCGAGTCGGACGACAGCGACGGCTCGGACGAGAGCACCGACGAGGACTTCAACCCGGACAAGGCTAAGGAGAGCGACGTCGCCGAGGAGTCAGTATATTGATATTATTCTTCTTATGTACTCATCGTTACTTCTTTTATGAAAGCTATAAAGCTTTACAGGAGTTCCCAAATTTATTTTGTCTACTGCCCACTTTGAGAGTAAATTATTTTTTAACGCCCCCATTTTTTCACCTACTTAAAAACCACTATCACTTTAAATTAAATTAATCAATTATTGTGAGCTATATTAGTGGATAATTAACATTTTTTCTAAACGAGCCTCTACACAACGCACTCATTTGTTTTTTGGATCTCTTATCACCCCTCTTTAGGCCTGCAGCGCCCACAAGGGGGTTTTATCGCCTACTTTGGGAAAGGCTGCTTTATAATATATCTTAGTATAAATTGTACTATTCAAGGTAAGGAACCTGGTAACTTGTAAAACAATTTTAACACATAGTACAGACACCAATTCCCACAAAGAATATTGGAATTTGACAATGTGTAATGATTTGTAATTATTTTTTAAGGTATGATACAAATCCGTCATCTTCGGAAGACTCAGATGCATCAGGAGGTTCAAATGATAGTAAAAAGGAGAAGAAAAAAGAGAAAAAACCCAAGAAGACAATAACAATTGTAAGTTTATATAATAAAATAAACATACTAAACAAATACAGTGCTGTCCTACATAATGAGATTAGTGTACGTAGTAGTGTAGACTTCATGAATATCAGGTTTTAGCAGTGTAATAGTTATACTTGTTACTTGTACTCTTTGTTAAAACTACTTCCATATATTACTAGAAAAGTGTTGTATAAAGCTCAAAAGTTAGAATGCACTTATGCTCTGTAAAGTGCCAGCAATTTACACATAGATTACTTTGTGTTTTATATTCTGGTTTTTGTTATTTGTCACATCAGGAAAAAACAATAAACCTTTTTGGTTATATTTATAATACTTAGGGCATTACATTAAAACCTCCTAACTGCATCAGTTTTAAACCGATTTGGAAAAATCTTTTTTTATACTTAACTATTAATCTCATAGAAATTTTATCAAAATCAGTTCAAATTAAAAAAACTGGTTTCGCCATAATTGAAGGAGGTTTTTAGGGGAACACAATGAATCCTATTCTATATTTAATCTCATAAATTTTTCATATAATGGCTAGGTTCCGGCACAGAATAGACCATCCCTTCTTTCCTGTGGGTGCCGTAAATGGCGACTAAGAGAACTTAATGGTAGAGTGTTTGGCAGCAACGTCCCTCTTAAAACATCTTTAAAAGTCTAACTGCGGTTGCCAATCCGCCTGCCAGGCATGGTACCTACTGGCAATACTCCCCTTATGGCGAAGGCTTATGTTCAGTGGACAGTTAACTGCTGGAATGATGATAACTAGCTTTTAATGTATCCTTCTCCTCTCCTCTTTAGTATGTGTATACTAAAGTTCATAGTAATCCGTTAAGCCGTTAAGGCACTAAGCTGTAACAAATGACCTCAATTTTATATTTAAAATATTAATACGGGTTAGTAAGATATGTGTTTTTATAAACAGTCGGAAGCGCCTCGGAAACGCAAGGAAAAGTCAAAGAAACGCGAGAAGGACGCGAACGCACCAAAGCGGCCGGCGACCGCGTTCATGTTGTGGCTCAACGAGAACAGGAAGAGCATCATCGACGAGAACCCCGGCATCAAGGTCACCGAGATTGCCAAGAAGGGAGGCGAACTCTGGCGCGAGCTCAAGGATAAATCGGTGAATATTAATTTTCTTTTTTATAATATTTAAAATTGACTGCTCACCTCATGGATGGATCATCTTTTTTCAATTTCCGTAAAGAAAAAAAGTATGTCATACACTTTATTTTCTAAATTATTTTAAAAACATGAGGTTTTCATTTCATATTTTCACTTTTTTTAAATATATTTAAAATTTAATAAATCGGCTGTAAATATCAGACCGACTTCAAAAAGAAGAAGGCTCTTAATTCCATTGTATTTTTTATTTAGTCATTTATAAACCAACATGGAAAAATCTTTTTTTTTTTTATTATTTAAAAATATGAGGTTGTGCCATAACTGATGTCTATTTTTTTTATGAAACACAATCCTAATTTATTTAAAATTATTAATCTACAAACGATATATGTAATTGAAAATCTAAAAAAGTGTCTCCATATTAATGATTGAGAATATTAACATATTAGTTGCACAGGAAAATCCTAGTGGAAATAACCTTTGAAAATAACTTAAACGGCGAAACCAGTCAGATGTTTATTGTAACACAAAAAATATTGTTGAAGAGTATAAGTAACATTATAGAATAATGTCACTATCAATTTATTTTCACAGTTGTGGTATGTTTTACCAGTATAGTATTATATTATCTGTGGTTTTACTATGCATTATAGAATTAGTTGAAATTAATAAATTACTTATTTACAAGAAACAAACAATCTCGTCAATACAAATTTTAAATACATATACAAATTTAAACTTTTAGTGCTCTATAGTACTATAAATTATTAATTTATATTTCAATTAGACAGATAATATAATATATACATAAATATTGTATCAATAAAAATTTTTATTCAATTCTTTATTTGTTATTTAGGAATGGGAAGAAAAAGCAAGTAAGGCTAAAGAAGAATATAACGCAGCAATGAAGAAGTACAAAGACAGTGGCGCAGCAGCAGAGTTCAAACAGAAGAAGAAGCAAGCAGAAAAGGAACGAAAAGCAGCAGACAAAAAAAGTAAGCCGGCGACAAAGAAGGCGAAGAACACCAGCGCTGGCTCCGGGTCAGGTGGCAAGTTCACAAGTAAAGAGTACATTGAAGATGATGATTCTAGTTCTTCAGACTCGGATAAAGACAAGAAGAAGGATAGTAAAGAAGTAAGTTTATAACATTCTAGAGCATATTAGCGACTCAAATAATGCCAATAAGATAACTTATTATTAAAAAATAATATTAATAAAGAATGAGATGCAAAGCAAACGGTGATGTGGTTAAAAATCATCCAGAGGTTGCATAGTGGATATGTGACCTTTGGATGGAGAGGAGTAATTGTTTATAACTTTATAGATAATTATCTACTTATACAAAGTTTTAAATAGATAGTATTTTAAATATAAACCTTTTATAAAAAAAAAAAGTCTAAATGACAATGAATCCGTTGTTAAATTCGATTGCGTGGTTTATAAGAAGTAAACGGAGAAACGAACAAAAGCGGACAGTGACTTTGTTTTATGCTATTTAGAGCTATGCTATTTATTTATTTTTATCACTATCGATTAATTTGCGAATGTAAAATAATACTTAATTTTAAATTTTCGCGTTGTGCAATTGCACCATCACGTGATGGTAAGAGATTACTGCCGCCCATGAGTACCTGCAACATTGAAGGAATTGTAGGTGTGTTTCCGGACTTTTAAAAAGGAATATACTCTGTTCTAGAAGGTTACGATGTCGTATTAGTTCCTGTACTTAAAATATGCTTAATAGCAGAGAATGCTTTTAACATTAAGTCTGCTTTGTACACATATTATAAAAAAAAAATTGACAAAACAAATACAACATGTAATAAAAAAATAAGTTATTAATTTCATTTTAGACATATAATTCACATAGTATTTATAAATAAGTTGTCTTTTTTTTATACAACTTAGAATGGCAAACAAACAAAAATTTGTTTTTATAATTAGCATGTCATTACTAAGAATTATTATAGGCTAGTCACAAAAATAATTATAATTTTCTTGAAGATATCAAGATTGTTCGCCAATTTCCACCTCAGAATTTCCATGTTTTAAATATCATAATCATAAATACATTTATTTTCAAGTAAATAATTTATTGATAATAATCTCATATGAAGCATTACGCTGCATTATGTATTAAATAATTTGATAAGATTATTATAAATATAATATCACACTACACGCTCTTATTATTAGTGTCTGTATTATTTATAATAATGTTATTGATATGTATCAATAACAGGATATAATAAGACGATTTGGTAACCTGAAACATCGGTTTGAATATATCGATATTTGATAAATATTTTGTGAACAATTGTATTTATCCTCTATCTCTAATACACCTATTTAATAAACATTTTATTAAGTAAATAATATAAATACACACTTCTAAACTATTTTACTTACTTGATATAGATTATAGCTAATTTAGGTAGGTAGATAAATAATATATTTAAAAAATGAAACTGTTTTTAAATTTAAAACTAATATATGCTTTGAGTATACTTTTTTTGCTTTAGCTTTTTAATACTAAATTATTACCGAAACAAGTGCATTGATTATATAAGAAGTTTACTATGTAAATTTTCACATAGTAAACAATACACAATTAAAAACATTATATTAGAGACTGCAAACGGATGTAGAAAGTGTTATGAAAACGTATGAAAAGAAACTGTAATATATCTCTTAAGGTCATTTTAACTTTATTCTAATTTTGTTTATTCTTCCACAGAGTAAAGACACAAAGAAGAGTAAATCGAAGAGTTCGTCCTCAGAGGCGGAGGCGTCGTCTGGTTCTGGTAACGAAAGCGGCAGCGGGAGTGATTAATACCACTCAGTTACATAAGAGAGATAATACCTTGCTAAAAATTTTAACGTCACGATCTCTTGGCAAATTTTGTAGTTACTCGTAATTATTACTTTTTCGTTTAAAAATCTTTATCGTACAGAAAAATGGGATCAAAAGTTTTGTTTCAACTGAAGCTTTTTAACTAGAGAGTATTGAAAACTTTTTTTTTTTTACATTTTTCATTATAACCAGATCAGAGATAGCGGAAAATAATTAGAACAACATATAAATAGATCATTGCTTGCGTTTTATATACAAAACTGTCTACTTTATTTACGTTAATAATAGAAAAATATTACTACATTATATAAGATATATTTCTGTACCATTACTATTGAATTTTGAAATAGTTTCAGATTATACAAGGTAAAATATTCTCCTTGTGTATTTTATAATTTTGGATCTAGAGATATAATAGATAATATAAAAACAACAAAATTTAATACAAGACTGTGACATTAGATTTTAAGCATACAGAAATCTCGTAACGTCAACAACTCGATCTAATTTAGTTGTAAACAATTTGTTACATTTCCATATGTGACTGTTTATCACAATTGTACATACCTGTTACATCTTTGTCCATGTGTTGTTATTGGCAATTAATGTATTATAATTAATGACTAATTAGTATTCAGAACAAACGTAATGTTTCCTGCTATTTTATGTTAAAGTGGATTTAGACTGAATTAACCAAGTCCGAGCTCTTTCTCCCTTCCATTTTTATCAACTATATAATATTATTTTTAATTCACGTGGTCAATTTCGGATAATATGTTTTTCATAATATAAAATAAATTTTCATATATTTAATTTGATATAATGAAGTTCCATCAAAAAATATTGCTACAATTTTATTTAGTGTAAATCTGCTAAAAAGTATTAGAAGGTAAAGGTACTAAAAGGTATCTTTTATTGCAGAAATATATTCGCGTGCAATTTTTTTTTTCTTTTAATATCTCCAGCCAAATTTATTTGTCGAATATTTTCACACATCTATCAGATTATTTCAATGGAAATAGGATTTGTATTTCTATAATTAATTTGTTTTTCAAATATGTAATTGCTGCAGTAATAAAAGTTTACAGAATTAAAATATTCAATGTTTGAAAACTAACTGTTATAGTCAGAAATATGTATAAAGAAAAACAAATACAATGTAAAATTATCGATTCTAATCAAGCACAATAACTTAAGAAAATAAACAATCTAAGGGACACCGTGGCTACTAAAAAGCCAAACTGTCAACAAGTTAACATAATTATTTGTGTTTTAACCTACCTCTTGATATTTACTCTTTGTTCTTTTGTCTAAATCCACATTTAAAATTATTAATCATGTTTGTATGAATCAACTATTGTGATATTTCTTATTTCATTCCCACACTGTAATACGGTCGTGACATGAACGTTGTAGAATTAGTAACCTTTAGTTATAAAGAAGATAGCCACTTGAGTATAATAAACAAGGCCATGATATGCACTACTATCTGCTTTTTGTATTTTGTAGTAAAAAAAAAATCTTGTTAAAAACAGTTTTCTTTATATCAAAATAACAATGCATATATAAAATAAAGAATTACAAGGCATATAGTGTTAAGTCCTCCATTTACACTATATAGGTATATTAAAATAAATATATCTCCAAGTATATCAAAAGGAAAACAAATTAGTTATATGTGTTTATTCATTAAAAAAAAATATCAAACACTAAACTATTGCAATCTATTAAAATGTTTAGTTCTTATTGATATTTTAATTTTTTTCCATTTTAAACCTTTTTATAGATTGTTTTACTTCTTTTTTATTAATACAGTCGTAAATTTTTATTTGCCATTATCTACGTATAAAAATAGTATAAACAGCTATCACAAACGTAACATACATATGATAATATATAAAAAAAACTATAATAAACTTTATTACATAACATATTTAGTAAACTATCTTGGCATATTATTGAAATTAGTCATCTAAAAATAAGACCGACAAAAAATAATCTCTATAATATATATATATATATATATATATATATATATATATATATATATATATATATATATATATATATATATATATATATAATTACTACAAAACCTTTTTATGTTACAATAATTACAAATAGTATTCATTTTATAAACTGTTACATCGACAAAAAAAAATTGCTAAGTAAAAAAAAAACAGCGTTCTTTTGAAACTTCACACCGCCCTACTTTGTAGCAATATGCTATTCGTATATCAAATATATGCAAAAAAAAAATATGTTTTACTTGGACATTATTGAAAATACGATTATCATTATGTATATTTTACGTTCAACGATAAGGATTAGTCGATATCTACATATGCTTATAGATAAAATATAATATTGATAGTACATTGTGTGTTAATTTATATTTATTTCATAATAATACAAATTCATACATTAATTAAGAGTTGTACCGTAAGATATGCACTCCGATATATTAATATCGCAGTGTGTGATGTCATTTTGTGACAATACAACAAATATATAGTAGTGGGGTTCTAAATGTTAATCACTTAACATATTAGAAGCTAGCATGTTTCCTACGGCTTTGCCGGCGTGAAATGTTCAGATTCTGACCACGATCATAATCTGCCTTGTCTTTACTCTCGTGGCTATTAGGATAGTAATTTGTAAATATTATAATAAGATTTATAAAATTAGTTTACTATCAGATATAACCGATTTGTGTTTCCGCAGCTGTGTTTATTGTTTCGACTGTTAATTATCAAACATATACATGTATCATAATTCATTATTTTTGAACTTTTGTAATGTTTAAGTTTTTTTTTTTTTTTATTTGTACGATCATACTTAAAAAATAAATATATATTTAATTTTTTTTTTTCGTGTCATGCATAGATGATAAAAAATCTTGTAGCCAAATATTTTCAAGTGAAACGCCTATTATAATTAAAAACAATCTTTGGATCACAGTTTTGTTCACAGTTTGATCACAGTTGTTTATATTTTTCCTGAAAACGAACATACCGATATAATACAGTGCAAATAATTCAAATATGTACGATCTTTTGCCTGTAAAGATAAAGGACGGCTCTCAGGGGTTCGTTTTTGTTTGCCAAACTAACTTATACGAGGGTTAAAATACTGCGATCTGTTATTCTATAAAAAAAGTTCGCCCCGTCTGCTCTACAAATGCGCAGAGAACTATTCCCGTGTGAAACCCTAGAGGCAATAAAAATTAATTCAGTTTTCATTTAATAATGTATTTCTTATAATTTTCTCTTTGATTTTATTATGAAACATCAAAATGTTTATTTTATTAAGCACAGCGAAGGTTTTATCTGCTGGATCAGTAATTTAGTTCGTTTATTTAATGTTTCGTCTCTACGTCTGATGATAATGAAGACCCTGCGTCATTGAGATAAGATGCGAAATTCAGTGTTACCTATAAGTTAAACGTTTATTAATAAACCATGTTTTGTATAATAAAATTGTTTTTATAAAAACTGACCAATTACGTAACATACCTATTAATGTATAAAAAGTATTATCAATTAGTAATTAGTTTTTTTTTTTTTAATAAAATATTTATTTTTATGATAGGTCAACAAACTGCACAGTTTCGTAATTAATTTAGTATGAAAAGCGAATATTGAAATAAATTATGTACTCGTAATCGTTTTGTACTTGTATTGGGTGTCTAGCTCTCCTCAGTTAGTCAATAGTCAATACATTTGTATGACATGTGAAATGACTAATTTGATTGAACAATTTGTAACTTTAAACCTGTGTTAAACTACTAATACAGTGTAAACTCTATATAGCGAACTTCTACTTAACGAAAAACTTCTTAAAATGTAGAAATTACTAAGGTTTGCTTGGTTTACATTGTTACCCTTGTATTGAAACGCTCTTTATAGCGTTGCAACCACTCTTAAAAAAGAAAAAATACCTCGTTATTTAGACCCCAATAAACATTAGTTTCACTGACCTTCAAACACAATACTACTACAGAGTCGTAAATATTTCGGTTTTTTTTTTTAGAAAAATTCGTTTTATTTAACAGTGATGATTCCACAATATCGCAAGATATAGTGGGAAAATACAACGAAAGTTACAATTAAAATACTGGCATGGTACAAAACGATAAACGAAGATAACTGATTATAACTTTGTTATATTTTTTTTTTTTTCACTTAATTTAGTCTTAACTAAATTAAAACGTAAGTACTTATTCGTAAAATTATATTGTTTTTTTTTTTTTACTCTCCATTTAATGACTTTATAACGCATTAAAATACCCGGTCCCTTCTATTTCGCTATATAGATTTTCCACTGTAATAATTATAAACTTCAAAAATTATTTTATAATGTTTCAACTTCTCTTATAGTAAGAGAAAATAAACAATAAAATTGTTCACTTTTGTGTATAGGTTTTGACATAGATAAACTCCTACTGTTTCGGGCTATCAATAATGACTAATTTATAGTTGTATGTGTAAGCAAATAATGTTCCAAAGTTGACTAGGATGCGACAAGGACAAACATAATTATGATAGTAATGCTAAATAAGAGCAAGAACGTGATAAAGCATAAGAGAAACTACATGAATGTTTTGTTGCTAGTTTATTAAGATTTTGTTACTTATTTCATTATTGATCAAGTTTTCTCCAATATCTACCTATTCTTAATCTAGACAATACTTATAAAAATTTAGCAGATAACGGCTTATACAAGATTGACTAGTAGAAGTCGAGAACTACGTTAAGTTTTTTTTTCTATTCGCCTTATTCTTTTTTAAATTATTTTTAGAATGTCCTAGCTATTTTTATTAAAATTATTGTTAATTTAAAAGAAAAAATATTCCATATTAAGTAGCTACCAGGTATGAAAACAACACGTGTTTATAACAATCTAAATGTACGTTGAAAAAGCGCATAATGCAGGACAAAATTATAGATACAAGTAGCTTGGACTACCTCGAACCGTTTGCGCCCTTTGTAAGGGCTCCTATTATGTTCATACAAATGCCGTGCCGCGGCGCCTCGCCTTGCGGTAGGTTAGGGTTAGTACCTACTTATATCTTAACAGCAGGGTAACTTCGTGTGAATGTTCGCTTATAACATTAATATAAAGCGACGTTTTTGATACATTTTGAAAAGGAACAAAACTTTTTACGTAAAATATATAATCGGTAATTTATGTGTATAGGGTACGGTAACTCTGCAAGTATTTAAAACTGAATGCAATTTATTAAAAAAAAAAGATATTTGTAATAACTAAATACCTAATCCATTCGATAATTAAAAAAGGCAATATTTAAACGTTACTATTAGTGTCCTGCGGTTTTGTTTGTACATGAATTTATTTACTATAAAAGTTCCTTAGATTAACATATCTACGAAAACTTGGATTCGCAATAGTTTCTTATCCTACTACTATTATAATTAATGCACTCTGGCAATAAATCATCATCATCATTTCAGTCATTATCCATCCAATGCAACGTCCACGTCCAATTTGACAATAAATAAATTTAATAAAATTATGATGGAGGAATGAATGTTCATTTTTTAAATAAAAAACCTAAGAATTTCCACTAAAATAATTTATGTTGTGTAGTATATAAGTTCATAAAATTTTCCATTAAACATACCTATATATCGACATCGTTAAACATTAACAGAAATTTTAAAAGTAAAAATGTAATCATTACACAAACTAAAGGCTGAATAAATCTCCCTTGACAGTTATAAGAATCACTCAATTTTCTTAATTCCTATTATAGTATTTTTTAATGACAACTGTTCGTCGGGTGGTAAGTAGTCTCTGCAGTCTATACACAATTTTTTTTTATATCTTTATTCATATACATCTGTTACAGATTCTTATGATACGTCAATCTATAATTATAATAATTACTATATAAAATAATATTGATTTAAGAAAAATTACAATAATTACATTTACAATACAATTCACATTAATACAAAATTCAAATCCATGCAGTTTTGTCATTTAAATAGTCATTTAATTTATAATAGGCTTTTGTACAGAGAGTCATTTTTATATATGTCTTATATTTTCTTTCATTTAAATATAAAACGTCATCTGGAAGTTTATTATAAAAACGTATACAGTTCCCCATGAAAGATGTACTGATTTGAATTGCAAAAACAACACTAAAAATCGAACGAAATTGCACGCAAGCGTTGCAATAACACTGTAAGTGCATCCTTTTATACGTGCAATCTGTGGACTAGATATAACCCAAAGTCCTATAGCGACCTTCGTATACAATATAATAATGCAATTATTTATTAACTTATTCTTTATTGACCACATTAGAAAAAAAATTCTGTTACAAAAGGCGGACTTAATACTACATAGATTGGGGGAAAGAGATTGTTGGAGCTACTTGATTCCATTACTAGCAATATACCCATGTCAGGTCAACCTTCACGTGGTTCTTCTTGGAAACCATCGTGGCTAATTCTAGTTGAATTTGTCAGAATAGGCTAACTGACCTGCTTTCATCCTCATCAGTCATCTATCACTGGTGCTCCGCCAGTGTATACCGATAGCGCAGACGGGCTTACTACATCATTATCACCCATTAAAAAAAATACTACATAGAAACGTCAAGATATATTATGTGCGTAAGTATATAGAGCAATAATAAAAAAAGAACGGGTCAGTTAATTTGACAATTTGCTGACAAAATGTTGAAACAGTTTTTGAGACTCGAGACTCTATACAATTTAAGAAGGTATACTAACATTAAGCTATAATTATGTTACTAACAAATTGGGTCATTGTAGCCTGAAATAAAGCATTATTATTGTGTTAGGCTCTTCATATTAAGAAAGAAACCTAAAAAAAAATATCCATAAATATTCAGTCATAATAACTCGTAAGTGTTACGAGTTCAAATCGTAATTGATAACCTATCTTAAATTCCTTAATGCACTGTGTGCATTACGCGACGGCCGGTATTTAAACATGACTCCTAGTAAGTAATGTGCCTACTATGTAAATACTAAATATTCACTTATCATTTTTTTTTTTTTGTATTTTCTGTCGACAATTTGCTTCGAGTCATCTTACCTTTGCCACAGATAATATAATACTATGCCTTTGCCTTACAATTTCAGGTCAGCACAGAGCTACGATTTACTGTAGACTAAATTTAATGATTCAACGTTTATTATATAGAACCTAAGGTCGGAAAGGATTCAGCGAAATCAACGAATCGTTATTTTAAGACTAAGAAAGAAAGGAGTTATGGATTGTGCTTCCGTATTTTTTTTTTTAAGTGCCACACTAATTGCGGTGCCCTCGAACTAGGACACCGTAGGTATGTTGTGAGGAAGCAAACAACGAACGTCTGAAGTCACAACCAAAAACACATAGTCTTAAGTCAATTCAGAAGTTCGTTTTCTAAATTGGTCCGATCAGAAGCCGAACCCGGAACCTTATTTATGCAAAGCAACATACTCACCACTGCACCGCGGAGGTAATCATTATATTCCTTGTGTGATTGATCAAGTGCGAGTTGTTTTCACATCCGAGGGTTGCGTACGTAAATACATGAGATAAAATGACCTTTATGCATTTTTTATTCGAAATTGATATCTTATTGTTATTAATACTTACACGATGTATTTTTTTTATTATTTTAGGACATAATTGTGTTAAAATACTGGACCACATAACTGTTTGGTTTTGCATATATTTCGATAGTTTCTTAAAAATCGGTGTTAGTTACAATCGTAGTTTTATTTTTCCTGTAATATTTACATACAATTGTAAAAGGCGATTAAGAGAAATCATGGGATGGGCAGCAGCCTCCCTCTTAAAACATCAAAGTCTAACTGCGCTTGCCAATCCGCCTGCCAAGCATGGCAACTACCGGAAAAACCTCCCCAAAGAGAAGGTTTATGTGCAGCAGTGAACAATTAAAGGCTGATATGATGATGATGATTTACATACGCCTTTTATATATAACCTCGCTATATTATGAAATCGTGTAGTAAATTTCTGGGCTCGCATTCGAAATTCAAAAAATTAGATCCTCACCATATTGTCCCAGTCTCTGAACGGTCCCATTCAAAGGTATTGGTTGTCCGTACAGAACACGTGCGTCCGAGACAGGAACATTAAATAATGTTCTCTTATTTTTATCTAATAACTGAGTTTGCTATATTATTTTACTTTACTTTTTATTTAATTTATTATTATATTTTTATAGGTTATCCGAGTACATCATAATACAATTGTATCTCTATGGGTGAAATAGCTGATAATTAAAAATATTATTATTATTTATAAACTTTGGGATAATGGTAGGAAGATGATGATTATTATTTATAAACTGTAATTATTACAATTGATTGCTGCAGACGGATGGACTAACAAAGTCGTACCATAAGGGTTTCTTTTTACCTTTTGATACGGAACCCTAAATATAAAATATTGCATTACATTTATGACCGAATGAATAAATTTACATTTTGATACATAATAAATATTCCCATAAGTTGAAATTAACCTTTTTGTCTACTTAGATTTCAAAAGCATACAAAAGTTATTGCTACAATGCAAGGGTGCATTCGTAAATACACGGAAACATTAGGGGAGTAATAGGGACGTCGCATAAATATGTATTATTATTAACAATATTAGTATATATAATATAGAGGTAAATATCATGTTCTGCTTACGACAAACTTATGATTTGATACATGTAATAATTTTTACTAATTAAAAATATATACATATTATTATAGTTATTCGCTATCGTGCGATAAGGATACCTAATACCTGTTAGCTATTATACTTGCACCTGGTTAAAATTAAACTTTATGTAGGTACCTAATTAAATGCGTAGCGTATCTAGTATTATTCGCAATTAAACTAGACAAAGGACTAACATTTTTTCTTGTTCTTAAATTCTCTTATTATTTTTCCTTGCTTTATTTTATACTTGACCAGTCCTTTCTAGGGATCGCGTACCTTCGTCGACTACCTACGCTCAAACAAACCATAAAAAAGGGTCCCATGCACTACCGCTTCAAAGCGAATAGCTTCCGTTAGACATTAGAACGACAAGCAATGAACAACAGTACGTTTTGAGTAAAAAAATGAAACTTGACAGAATTTTGCGAAACATTATAGTCGGAATAAATTCCTAAGTTTCTTATCTCAAATAGTACGTGTACCTATACTAAATTGCATGATTATTGATTGAGCCGTTAAGGCGCTAAGAGATAGCAAATAACATGACCTAACATATGAAAGTAAGTTGGTAATAATCTTCTCATGAGGAGGATATCATGACATTAGACATTATAATTTTTTTTATTTCGTAAAGGCTTTTAAAAATGTAAATTAGAACATATGCTGCTGGTGAGGAGAGCCTATCAGTGAAAAATTAAGTCCGAACTATTGGGCCATTGTCGAATTCACTAAGAATAAATTAAATATAATGGTTTCTAGAGAACAATCTGATATTTATTAAAAGGAATTATAATGCTAGATCTCATTACTAAGAGTCAGTAAACAAATAATATTAAGGCGCCTAGCGACTCCATCATCGATTCGATGCTTGTAAATACTTATTATTTACTTAGATACCCACCTAATAATCAATTTATATTGTAAATAGATAGCTATTTAATTTAAAACTGTCATTTTTTTATGTATATAACTTAGTATGTAGTTACCAAACTACTGATTAAAAATATGTTTACAGTATTGACTCGTAGTATGTAGTATTGCAGGCTCCTAAATCATGAAACCCAAGAATGTATTTTATCGCAATAAACTTAAGCACTAAGACCTTACACCCTTATTTCTTTGGAAATAAAAACTAGTTCTCAGATTCTCACGAAATATCAAATCGTAAACAAACGCGTCTGCCATTCAAACGCTATGTTTTATTGGCATCCCTTTCCCGCTGATGCTTGCCGCGCTTTTTAGGATTTCGAATGAAACGTTGGCGGCATTTAAAATAAGCCGCGAGTTAATTTTGGTCGGAATCTGGTAAGGGGAGCTTCAAGAGGACTGGGTCATATTTTGATATACTTATTATGAAAACATATGGTGGCTACTCTCTAAAAATAATATTTTAGACGTATACGTACTTCAATTGTTGATATTTTAATGTTTAGAAGCATATAATATGTGAAATAGAGCAAAATAAATTTATGAAGTAAATGTATGGAACAAATATCCTCAACTTACTATCGACTATACCGTTCTTGACATTAAGCATAAAATTGCATACGCTATTTCAAGTATACGTCACGGATATACGTAGTACAAGATGCTTCATTGATTTTGTGCAGTTGGTAGCGTTGGGAATTTCGACCAATCACGTTCGAGATAGATGTCGCTCTAGTACCGACGCGAGACGACCCAAGCTAGCTTGCACTGGGAACATTTGCTTGAGCTCCATACATTTTCTTCTGGTTCTTTACGTCTACAGTTTGGTTGTGTACCAGTTCAAAAATAATTTCAAAATTTTTGCCATCAGGTAAGTCTAATAATTTTTCTAATTAAAGTTAAGTGTTTTATTATGTCTATTCGTGTTTATTAAGGCGTAATTCTCAAAAATATTTTTCTTTCCACGTTGGAATTCTCATTCAAACATGGCTATAGGCTTCGTCGTACTTTCCTTAGTACGCGTGGGTATGGCGAAGGACGCCTTTATTCAATAATTAATTTCTCATATCTTTTCCATTGGAGGCCCGAAACAGTTCTTCTACAACTTTTAGTTCAATAATTGTGGGATTATTTAGTAATTATGTCATCTAAAGTTATTGCGTATTTTCAACACAAAACGTGAAAACAAAATGGCTCTTTCGACCCAAGCCTAGGCCAGTGAACTCGTTATATGGGGCGATAACTCTTTTCGAAGATTTTTATATTATAACTTGTGTTAAAAAGGTGGTTCGTATTTAGTTTTTGTTGTTTTTTTATCGTGTTACTATTGAAATTGTGTATTTCTATTTTTAAGGCCTCTAAATGGGTTTCCCGCCAAAATGCCGCTCTAGGAGTGCTTAAAGTAAAGCAAACGCTTGAAATCTCTCATGTAGAGTCACGCGTGGCCCGCATAACCTGTTGCCATGCTTATTATATTATGTTTTACTGTATTCCCATGTTGAATTACAGGAAAAAAGTTAAAATGACGGACAAGCCAAAGCGTCCTATGTCAGCATACATGCTGTGGCTGAACAGCGCCAGAGAACAAATTAAGGCCGACAATCCTGGTCTAAAAGTCACCGAAATCGCCAAAAAGGGAGGCGAGATATGGAGATCAATGAAGGATAAGAGTGTGAGTAGGACAACTATCATATGCATTTAATCAATATTTTCCTCTTAATTATTAGTTTATATATATATATATATATATTATTATTAACTTTGATCAGGAATGGGAGGAGAAGGCTGCTGAAGCGAAGGAACAATATACAAAGGACTTAGAATCATATAATGCTAATGGTGGTGGCGGCGAGGGTGGTGGCAAGAAGGCACAGAAGCGAGGAAAGAAGGGCAAGAAAGCATCAGCACCAGCTGTAAGTTCACTTTATTTTTACTGTGTTTATTATTTACTATATTTACATATTATTTACTTATAGATACTATATATTTAAAATTAATTTCAGAAGTCCAAGAAGAAGAAGGAAGAGTCTGAAGATGATGAGGGTGAAGAGGAGGAGGATGAGGAAAGCGAATGATCTCCCAGCCTATAAGACATTTCTGTTCATATTGAATAATTTACTGGACTTAATTTATTACGAAGTAAAATGGGACTGACTTTCCAAAGTCTGAAACAGTTAACAATTTCATTTTATAACCTGCATTAATATTGTTTTAAATGTGTAATTTTATTGTAATTCTGATTCTAATGTAACATGTGTGGATTAATTTTTTAGTCCATTTAATGAAATTGTTGATTCCTATGGGCGATTTACTATTTTTAGTAGTATTAATAGAAGTGAATGTAAGAATTGCAGAGTTTGGAAAGTTTCACCACAGGCTAAGGTCTAGGTTCTAAGCCTCGAAAAAAAATAATGTTTAAGTGTTAGCATGTATACACTGGGGAATTGTACAGTTAGACCTCCCTTGTTAAGTTCGCTGTGACTACTGGATGCTCACATTTAATATTTACCTCACTTCTGGTTTTATCAAAACTTGTATGTCTGTAGCACTCCCCGATTGCTGTGCAACCCTTATGTTTTGAAATTGTGCTTTGTATTAAATGAGTTGCCATAAATGTAATTTCTGTGTACTGATTAAGTGTGTGCGTTCTTTGACATAACAGTTTTGGTCAAACTATACTCACATGTAAAATTAGAGACGATTTCATGAAATATAATGGCTTACTGTTAATTAAACCTACCTCTTCTGATTGTAAATTTCAATACTGCTAATGGTACCAAACTTAGCTACTAAGAAAACCGGCAGTATGATCTGTGTATCATGCTGGGCAATTTAAATATAGGAAATTGATGTGTATGTTGTATTTTTAGTTAGTTACTAGGTAGGTTTTCGATGTGATTTGTCTCTCAAATTTTACATTTGTGTTATTTTGTAAATGAGAATTAGCATTCCTCATGTCAATACGGATTTTACATGTTCAATAAAGTAATTTCATATAAAATATTCTATTTTTCAATTTGTCTTTTAATTCTCTTAAGTTGATTCACACGTAACTAAATAACTACATACTTATGAAAAAAAGTACCTAATTAAATACCTAAATATTTATATACGACCACTAAACATTTCCCTTTATTATTATTGTTGGAATAATATATTTATTCAGAATAAAATAGTCTTATGTTTTTCGGTAACTACATTATAGTAAAATAATAGTTTCATCAATTACATCAAAACCTCTTAGATAAAGAAGCAAATTGCTTAATTTGTACAATTGACTCCTATCGAATTAACAGTGACAGGTTATCAATCAATACAGTTTGCTTGGTGATGTAAACTTGACTGGCATTGCTTATCAAAGAATATTCGAATAATCGATTGCTTTGTTTAAGTAACCAAGAAATCGATTATTCAACATTAGATATTAATAAATATAAGGAATAGTAATATATTTGACGATACTAATGAATACAATAATTGTATAGATTTTATTTTGAACTTGTAAGAAAGTACCATTATTGAATACGAACTCGATTATAATCGATAACCATATTATTTATGAATGCGAAATTAAGTAAATAAGTTTGTTTATTTTTATTTGTTACCGCTTTAATGGCTCAACCCATCTTCATAATATTTAGTACACATATATGGGATGAAGAAGAACATAGGATATATACTATTAATCCCGATCAATCTACATATTTCGATTATGCGAAAGAAGTTACGAGCAAATAATTAAATTATAAACAAGATTTAATTGAATAATATTATCACATTGGTTTAATAAATCCTATTGCTATACCAAACGTAGTTATAATTTGAATCATTATAGGCGATCCCTATAGCTTAACAAATTAATAACTAATTAATTACTGTGTAACATCAGTTGGCGCTCTTAATATCATGCTTACTAAAAAGGCGTGTCTACGTAAAAAATACTCTCATTAAACATTAAAGTCGAATTAGTGCAATTTTGTATCGGTTAAACATCCTCTTAAATCGGTTTATTTGCATTGGCGTATTTTTTTTTAAATGGTTTCCTAAAATAACCAAATACTAATAATCTTAGATTTATCATGGCATATAATTGGAAGTCCTTGTTGGATTCAGGGGTAAGCACTATACAATTCTGGATGTCAAATCATAAATCATTATTTCATATATTATCATAAGATCTATTTATTCAGTCATTTACTATTAGCAGCGGTTGATAATTGGGCAACGCTATTGCTTGTTTGATTGTCATTTTAATGTCACTGTCAAAATTATCAATGTCAAATCAAATTTAAATATGAAAAAAATCCGAAAATCCTAATAAACAATTAAAATTTTCTTTTAAAACAATTGTTAATACTATAAACAAAATAAGAATTTACTTTAGAATTCTGTAATATTTTGGTTAGAAGGTACAATTGTTTTGCTTTTTCATATATCGCATATCGCTATAACATACACTTCAGAGTCAAATATTACTATTTACTATAATAAATAAATAAGTGAAATAAGTGTTAGCTTTCACTGAAAGGTATAATCTAAAAAGCCTACTAGCAATAATATTTGCAGGTTATAGGTAGATAGAGATATTTTCACTTTTAAAAATATATACTGGATAATTTTTTTTTATCATATATTGTTTGTAACATAGGGGCGTTTTTTTTTAATGAAAGAAAATGGAATGGTAATCCCGCCTGCACTATTGGTATACACTGGCGGGACTCCAGTGAGGGATGATTGATGAGGATGAAAACAGGTCAGTTGGCCTATCATTATGAATTCATCAAAAATTAATCACAATGGTTTCCAGGGGGAGCCGCGTGAAGGTCGACCTGGTTGGATATATTACTAGTAATGGGGCTGTTGAATTTCACTATTCACAACCCCTGTCCCCCCATATAGGGAGAGTAGACACTACTAACTTTATTCTTATGTACAATAAATTAAACAGGTTATGTATGTGATAAGGGTATATGGAAGTCGTAGTTGTTGTAAAAGACACTATCATATTTGATATTATAATAATAGGTATCATACAATCACACCAATTACTTGGTCCTCATGCTAGGATAGTTTGTGTTATAGGAATGAGGCATCAAAGATAAGCACAAAATAATGTTATGATATTGTACTCGCATCAAAATAGCAACTTTTATAATTAGTAATAATAATTGCCAACATATACCTATATATTATTATAAAAATTGGTGAACTCTAAATAATCTGAATGCTATGTATGCTGTGCATGTATCTATTTAAATATGTATAAAAAAGTGAGAGTGAATATCTTGACCAAATCTAAAAGAATATTACAGGAATGGCTGGTGATGGAAGCACTGGAGGTGGGTCACAAGTGGCCCTTGTGACTGGAGGATATGACCATACTATTAAGTTGTGGCAAGCACACAGCGGAGTATGCCTACGCACCATGCAGCATCCAGATTCAGTGAGTTAATTTAAATAAAACAGTACTATCTAATCTCAAACTTTGAGAAATTATTTATCTAGCTTTTAAGGAACTTATGTCCATTCAATTCTATTCTAGCTCTAATTTAAAGGGATCCATCTAGGACAGATTTTAAAAAGTAGTTTGGACAATTTTTGAAGAGTTGGTTAATCATATTAATTGAATGATAAAATAAATATTTTCTTTAAGGGGTATCCTTATTTGGATTAAAAACCATTTAACACAAATCTGTAATGTCTGCAAATAAGTGATATACCTAGAATACCCTAGAATATTCTTATATTTCTTGCTTCATCTACTATCATAAATTCATTCTTAGACACTACTTGTCTATAGAGTATAAGTGTTAGGGCTATAATTTCTCACAAACAACGGAAACTGTAAATAAATTGTCTAATACATACCTATTTTTTAAAGTATATATATATTACTTATTAATAAATTAATAATGATCTAGCTAGACTTTTCTTATATTTTTTATAATAATAATAATAAAATCTTCTTAATGCAATATTCTTTATTTAAAGCAAGTGAATGCATTGGAGATCACTCCTAATGGACAAATGGTGGCTGCATGTGGATACCAACATATCCGTATGTACGACCTGGCTAGTGCTAACCCTGACCCTGTTATGAATTTTGAGGGTGTCACCAAGAATGTTACAAGAGTTGGATTTCAGGTGAGTTGTAAAATATTATGCATATATTAACAGAACTTACAATGAACTTATAATATTTTAAATTTCTATATTCTAATAGGAATGGATATGATTTAACCGTAATTGCTTTTGTGTGTATGTTGTTTCAATTTTCTTAAAATTAATATGGCTAAACAAACTTTATACACATATCCTTCTTGATAAGCAAGCTGATGTGGTAATGAGCTGGTCACATTATAAACATAGTGTAGGACGATCCCCCCACTAAATGGAGTGATGATTTCAAATGCATTGCATAGAATCAGTGGATGAGGGTGCCTCAGAACTGTTCCTTATGGCAGTCAATGGGGGAGGTTTATGTTCAGCAGTGGATAGATAATAGTTGAGATGATAAAACACATTTTAAGAAAGATAATATAGAAACACCCATAATATTTTTCTTAAATTGAAGTTTGTAAAAAGACATTGTTATATTTTTCATTTTCTATCTATTTTATTATGGATCTAAATTACATTTTCTGTAAATGACTTATTCATTTGAAACATCAATTAATAAGCAATTTTGTAATCTGATTGTTTCAGCAAGATGGCAAATGGATGTATACTGGGGGTGAGGATTGCACAGCAAAAATATGGGATCCAAGGTAATAAAATATAAGATGTAATAAAAGCTATTATTTATTTAGTAAATTAGAAGTAAAAGAAATAAAAAAATATTTCTTCACTAAAACATACTTAGTATACTATAGACTAGTATAGTCATAGTTTTTTTACTGCTTATTTTTTTTTTCAATTTATTTGGAAAAATAAATAATTGTACAGTATATTACCTACAAATATTATTTAAATACGTATTTGTACAATCAATACTCTTTATTTATTTTATCCATTATTATTATTATCCTCTAATTTCTTATTATAAAAACAAAAAGCACGGTTATATAAATAGATATGATAATATCATGAGGATTCTACTCAACCACACTCATAATTGAGGATTGATTGCTATTGTTATTAGTAGAAGTTTTACGACCTTCCATATTAGTTATCGATTTTCCAATAATAATTACTAGTTATGATAGTAGTCAACTTCAAATATAGGCAGACACACACACACACACACACACACGCGGTCCTTGAAACCGAAACACAGCCATGCAAACACAACTACTTCACGGTAGAAACACGAATGGGACAGAGGTACCCAAGCAATTGACTTTTGTATAAAGTCTCCCTCTGGTCACTGTGATTCATTATTAATAAATTCTTACACAATATGTTACATTTAAACATCAAAATTGTTCTATAGGGCCGGCCGCCAGTTGCAGTGCCAAGGTATCTTCCAGGTGCCGGCGCCAGTGAACGCGGTGGTGCTTCACCCCGACCAGACACAGATCATGGTCGGCGACCAGAGTGGCATCATACACATGTGGGACCTGAGAACAGATCAGAACGAACAATTGGTATAATTTGATTGACTTTTACAAACATTTTAAAAATTTTATACCTACTTATTATTCACAAAAATGTATATTTTTTAATAAACAAATATACATACAATTATATTTTGAATTAAAGTTTAAATAATAAAGTTTTATTTAAATTTCATAAGATTTTAAGCAAATCATTAAAAATTATTTAGTACATTAGTATAAAATGTTAATTTTGTCAGCTACTTGGTATGCGTGGATTTCATAAGTAGGTAAACTAATCAAATAGACAGAAATAGCGTATCAAGAGAAAACATACACCAGTTTTTAAGTTAGACGTTCAGTTTGTTAAGTTAATACAACTTGCAGTTTCTTTCAAATTAAGAATTTCTAATATCTTTCATTCTAGATACTGTAGTAGCAATAAAAATATTTATATTGGTGTATACATGAAACATATTGTTATTTATAATTTATCACTTTAATAAAATATTCTTATTAATATTAAGCCATAAATAACAATTTAGTGTTCAAGAATGACGGGGTATTATGGGCGTCACAGTATACTCTGTGACGTCCATGGTACTGTGCATGCCTATAGACAACAGTTCCAACTTTCCATTCAAGTAGGCGATCACTTGTTTGCCGTTTTAAGTTGCATAAAAAAATTATATAATAAACAAATGCGTAATAAAGTTTTGTATTTGTATTGTATTATAGATACCAGAAGCAGAGGCGTCCATCCAAGACATAGCGATCGATCCTGAGGGCAAGCTGATGGCGGCCGTTAACAACAAAGGCAACTGTTATATCTGGTCATTGTGCGGCGAGCCGCCGCGGCCTGTGCCCAGGAAACATATACAGGCGCACAAGAAGTACGCACTCCGGTGCAAATTCAGTCTTGATTCCACGTAAGTTGCGGTTGAAACATTATAAGTACACTTAATTCAGTGCGAGATATATATTTTTCTAAAATATAGACCACTTTACATTTTGTCGCCATTCTAGGTAGGAAAGAGAGAGGCACTCACTGTTTATTCACTGTTGTTTCAATCTGTTTATTTAGGCGTTTAATTGGATACGGGTAGTTAAGATGAACATTGCAAAGTAATGAAATGAACGATAGCAATTAAATAATAAAAATGTAAAGTAATACACAAATTACGATTTTCATGGAACTTTGTGTTTGCAAAATCCACCGCTCCTTGCATCTCCTGTCCGTGGTCCAGTCATAGTAGTAGTTTAAATAAAACAGTAGAGTAAAAATAGGAAAAAGCTAAATTAGTGTATTTTTGATATTTATTACAATAAAAAAAAAAATAGAAAACAACCAAAAGTTGGGAAATGTAAACTAACGAAATTTCTATCATTGGCCAAGATATAAACTTGGCTAAATCCCAACTAACTTATTAAATATACTATTCAACTTAGAAAATTCTTCAATGAAATAAATGTAACTCAATATCGGCCAAAAAGACGCTTAATAAATTTGGCTTTTCTAGTGTCGATATGCTATATATTAGGGGTGGCCGACTTGACTAGACCTACTGTTTACTAACACAACCCTGTGCAATCTACCAATTACATATTTCTTGAAATCTCAAATGAAACAACATAGTTCAGTACACAAATATTTAGTATTGTAGTATTTTTTATTTTATTAAGGGGGAAAACATAAATTATATAGTATTAATAACAAAAATTATATATAGTATATATAATTTTGCTTACACGTCTTGTTGCTATGCTAAGTAACATAAATAAATAACGGTATGTTATGCCAGCATGTTGGTGACGACATCTGGCGATTGCTCGGCGAAAGTGTGGCGGACGTCGGACTGGTCGCTGCTGCGTGAACTGCGCCACGACTCCCAGCGGTGGGTGTGGGACGCCGCGTTCAGCGTTGACTCGCGGTATCTCTTCACCGGTCAGTCCCCATCTAAAAATTACTTTTTAAACAGACATTTATTACTTCTATACTATATTGCTGTACGTAAATGATGTGTTGAGTTCGACCATAGTCAGGCTTCTTCTTAATTGTCTTGGTTCTGGTCAATTAAATTGTGTTTTCCATTCATTAAAATAGTATATATGAAAAAGCTTATATTTTTGTAATGTATAATATAAAGTATTACACAATCTTGCATTCTAGTAAGTTAGAAAAATATATTTCAATATTTATAAATATATTTAAGAAACTAAGATTATATAGATATAGCCTCAAGCATTAAAAACGAGTCAACTTTAAAAAAAAATACTAAAATAAAAACGTTTTTTTTTTATCAGTATTCTTACGCATAAAATGTATCTTGACGTATTATTTAAAAAATAAAATGAGTATTCATGCATTAAAAGATGGAGAATTTATAAAACAAAATAAATATAGAAGTTATAAAGGAATCACTCATAACTATTTATCACGCAAAATTGTTTGAAAACGTTGACCCCGTTTTTCTCGAAGTATTTCTATGGTGACACTCTATCTATATAATCTAAGTTAAGAAATTAATTGGAAATATGAATTGTTTTATGCTTGTATTATATCGTTGAAATTCGGCATTTTAGCCCTTTTAAGTATTGTTTAAATAGTTGGTATTCCTATATAATTCTTAACTGCAGGTTCCTCGGATAGCTACGCGCGACTCTGGGACGTAGAGAAGGGCACACTCGAACGTGAATACTGCGGACATCAAAAGCCCATCACAGCGCTCGCTTTCAGAGACCAAGCTGCCTAGTCTACACTACATGATTGCAATTAATTTGCAATTAACAAATGCAGTCGAAAAATAAAACAGACTTTTATAGAACTGTGCAGACTGAAGAATATATACAAGAACACAGGTGTTTTATTTCGACGGGCCAAAAAGTATGCCTAGTTAATTTAATTAATTCGCTAAGGTTCTTTAATAAATCGTTAAATCGCCATCAGCGTGTGGTTTTTTTTTTTTGTATAGAGATTGATGTTTAATTTATTCTTATCACTTACAGAACACAAATAATAACAAACATACATAGACATACACAATAGAGATAAAAGAATATATTTACAAAAAAAAAAGAAGCAAAATAGAGATGTTATTTGTATATTCATAAGCACCATGAAATGTTTATCGAAATTTCGGAGCCAAACGAAACACAAATTTGATGTTAAAATTACATAATACATGCCGTTTGGAAATATTAAAAATGTTAAAATATTGTTCTTTTGGACTTTTATGATAGGATGTATGACGAAACACCATTTATTGGTCCGATTTTGGTGTAAACAAAAACACGAAATTGAGTCCGAAATTTCGGGATTTCATTTCATGGTAGACCCGCTGATTTTAATGAACAATAATATGCAAATTTTTTTTATTCACTAAAATTTAAAAATAGTATTGTATTGTAAAATCTTTATTGTACATAATTCATATTGAATATATAGTATTCAAATTTAAAATTTAAAAAATCTTTGTTCTGATTAATCTTAGCCCCTATATTGTGATTAGTTCCTATAAATAACTGAATATTGTAATATTACATTATACGTTATCTACCAACCACTGTTTGTTTCTATTTAACTCAGTGTAACAATATCAGTAAATTTTATCTCGCTACCAAGTCTGTCATTATTATTGTAAATCAAGTTATCGCCATAGTATAGTATTAGTACCTATAATTTAGTATTTTATATGTTACGATGTATATAAACTTGCAGATTTGTTTTTAACATTTACTGTGTAAATGTAAGGGCTGTATAAATGTTTGTATAATTTATAAATGAAATTATTATTATACAAATTTATTTTGTATTTATTCAATCCTCTACCTATAGCAAATAACGGATAAACTGATTTCTCAGTGGATGTCTAGGGGCACAGCAATTTTAAAACAATAATTGTCTGGCATCTGGTAAGTTGCCAGAGATAAAGTATTGATGTGGCAGTATATTGTCCCATTCGTGTTTTTACCGTGAAGCAGTTGTGTTTGCACGGCTGTTTCGGTTTGAAGGGTGGGATATGGCAGTGAATTTACAGGGTACAGAGGAATAACACCTGAGTCCTCAGGAATAACAACGCATGGGGGGTATTATGAGTGAAATAGTATACTCTGTTACGTCCATGGTACTGCTCATGTTTAAAGGCGACGGACACCACTTTCCATCAGATGGGCCGTCAGCTTGTTTAGCATTCTAAGTTGCATAAAAAAACAATCAGCATTACCACAAGTCGGCAACAGTAAATTGATCTCAACCAGAACTATGCATGTGTGCGCCATTAGAAAATGAAAACTATTGTAAAAATTGCGCTTAGGTTTGGTCATATGATATAGTCACAGAGAACATTTATTAGTGTACTTTTCATCCTTAATAAAATCTCGATCTACGCATTATTATATCCTACTCATATTATATTTGAATCAAGCTAATTCTTAACACACAGATTTTACTAAAACTCATGTTGCCTGAGTTTTAGTAAAATACGTGTAAACTTAAAAATTTTAGGACAAAAAATCCTAATCCTAAAAAAGTGTTAACTAAAACTCAATTTGGTAACTTTTTCTTAAGGGTTGATATAAGTGCTTTTAAACTAGAGTTACAGACCCCTCTTGCTAAGGCTAAAAAACTATTGTGGACAAGAAAGATAAAAATCTCCTAACAGTTGAATCGAAAGTAAACAGGTACAAATTAAAAGTCATTGGGATAACTATAATAATATTATATTCTAGAAAATTAATTACATATCCAATTCACCAATTGTGGGTATTGCACGGCAATAGCATAATAAATAATAAAGTATTATTAATTATTAAATTGTACATATAAATGCAACTAAATATCTATAATTATAGTACAGTATAATAAGTACAGTACATAAGTATCTATAATTATAGTACATACATCTCTGAACAATACAGTTATTAATATTTGCTATAATACTGAATATAATATTTTTTTCCGAGTCAGATCTTTTTAAAATTCAATCAATTTAAAATACAAATACTTATTCATACTATGCATAAAAATATTATCAAAACTAAGTACGTCAAATATTTTATGGGAATGTAAACTATTTGCAACAGAACAATTTCGACTAGAACAAAATATACATCTCTCACTCAAAGTCTAACATTTTCAATATTAAGTAGCTAATGCAATAAATCATCAAGCATTCTGTAGACACGCATTAGTATAATGCATAAATCACACTTATTGGATATAAGGATTCAATCAAGCGCACAGAAATAGTGAACAGTCTTCAATTTTAGTTCATGATCTAAGATACATTCAAATAATAAGTAGTAAGTCTCACATTTATGAGGGTACATTACACTGTCCAGTATATATGACCATAATAATTTAATAACATAATAACCGTAATTTTGTATAGCTATTTTTGAATTAGATCTAACAGAGAAAATATAAAATATAGTTTTATAAACTATTAAACGATATTAAAAATAAATTAATACGGATAGTGCAATAAAGCTTCATCACATTATTCAAATGGTATTGTATGGTATTGTATTTGTAGAGTTCAGATCTCTAACAGACTTATTATAAAAAAAAAAAAACCTGTTAAAACTCGGACTGAACCGATCTAATTAATCAAGTCTAAAATAACACAGCAAATGTTAAATGTTGTCGCCATAGCTAAGATCTGTAATTGCATCGTTATAAAAATGAGTAAATAAATAAATAAATTTGTGATCCTCTTGGAAACCATCGACAATAATGGGCCACCTTACACGACGCCATCTTTACCGGTACCTTGCCAATGTAAACTAATAGCACAGGCCCATTTGCTAATTCATTCTCATACATTAATTTTTTCCTATGATTTAATACGCTATATGGTAATAGTTTTAATTTTCTAAGTAACTGATGAAGACATAATGAAGCAGAATGTGCGCATTGTTTCGGTGTAAAAGATAAGATTTCTATTGCAATATATAAGATAAGAGACATAGTACCATAGTTCTCAGGAATTAGGGCAATATAGTGTATATCGTGTTTTTTAGGCGGAATTTACCATTTTCCATACAATGGGCTGTCAGCTTATTTGCCACTCCCAATAGTAAAAAAAAAAAAATTGTCAATAACTCTTAGTAGTCCCGAATATATCACACAACGCTAATTACTTCAAAACTAAGGAGATATCTTATTATACGGTACTGGAAAACTGATGAACATAATTGCACTTTTCATAATTACAAATAATTTCTAAACAGTATAAAACAAACTTGATATCTGAGTCCATCTGTCTCCGCTTACATCTAAACCACGCAACGGATATTAATACCGGTTTCACAGTAATTTATACAATATTTTATAGAAGGTTTGAATGTACAATACACCTTCATTTATACCCGTGCAAAGCTAGGCCGGGTCGCAGTATATAAGAAAAATATCCAGCCCGATACAAACATATACTCAAGAACATACTTGTAAATGCACGTCGCATCCTAAAATGAGCCTATAGGCCCTGCTGATCACTAGTCTAAAGGAATAAAATTAGCTTACAAAAATAAAAATCAACAATATTGTAAAAGGAGCAATATCGTAAAAGGAGCAAGTCTAATAGTGCGACGTTCTTAAGATAATGCGATGATTTAAAATGTATCGATTTGGTTATACAAAATAGTTACACTATATGTCATCCAGGGGTAATTGTTTCACTTCACCCATTTCAGAACACATTTCGTCATCGCATGTGTACGTGATGACGAATTTTAGGCTGATTTGCGGCGATGACGGCGGCCTAGCGATCAACATTACTTGTGTTAGGGCTGGAGGCGGTAGAAACGGATTGTACGCGGGCAGTGTTGTGCCGGATGGCGTCAGCAGACGAACTTTACATCCCTAGAAATTGTTTAAAGAATATGTGTTAAAAATATTGGTAATATAGTACACGGATAACTTTATTAATATTATAAATGCGAAAGTTGGTAATGATGGATGAATGGATGGATGTTTGTGACTCTTTTATGCAAAAACTGCTGAACAGATTTGAATAAAATTTGGTACACAGGTAGGTAATATACTAACTTAGCACATAGGATATTTTATGTACTTATTGATTAACGTGACAGAAATATAGCTGCTAGCTGAATAAAAAAGTATGCTTACGACAATGGAGTAGTCAGAAACATTCATTTTGACTGTTGCCAGTGTGGTGAATGTAACACTTTACATACTCTCATTTCACTGAGCACATTTTAATCCACCTAAGTAAGGAATGAATCTACCATTACCTGGATTAATTATAGCTAATTCTAATACATCCAGATATATTAAAATTATGTTAATAAAATAAATTACCTTTGGTACAACCGATTGAAATTTGTAATCCTCAATGGGTGATCTATTTTTGCTAGTTGTTGATATTACAATTACATTGACATCAGGCCGTGGTTTATCTTTACAGAAATGCAACACCACCGTTACACCTTCATCTTCCTCAAAAGCGGTCAGTGGTGGCAAATTACTGGGCTGTACACTTTGTAATGTTACATTTATATCCGACAAAGGTTTCACATCACTATTTTTACTATTCTTAACGTTATCCCTCTTCTCACTTTCAGTAATTGAATTAACATCCTTATTCCCTACCGCTACTTCATCATTATCACATTTGGCATCATTATCTAAAGGCAAACTTATATCCAAGATTTTGTCAATGGAATTGTCTTTCTTTAAATTATTATTAAGTATATTATTCGAAGACAAATTTACATCTATACTTATGTCCACCATAACATCATCGTTTGGAGTGACAGGTTTTGGAGATTGTGAAGGTGGTGTAATTTTAACTTCTTCTAGTTTCTTTGTAAAGAAATCCAAGTCCAATATAGGGTCCTTATTAGAAATTTTTGACTCATGATTAGGGGACTTTTCTAATGCGTTCATAGGTATTTTCTTAGCTGATTTACTGAAAAATCAAACATAAGTAGTTTAATATATTATTTATAATGTCTATGTACTTATTGTTATTCTATTTAATACAATACCTATTAAATCCATCTAGTCGCTTCACGTTATTTGGCAATGATTGTTTCATAAGTTGTTCTCCAATTGAATCTAGTTCATTCCAACCCTCAGTTTTACTAGGTTTTTCAGACAGGAGGTCAGCATCGTCTATAAGTAATTATTATTGTCATTTTACATTATTTTATAAAAAAAAGGTTAAAAAAAAAAACTTTATTCAAGTGATTGACTACTGTTTTTATATTTATTGTAATTTGATTATGTTCATATTATGTAATAACTATTATTGTTTTCTTACCATTAGATATTAAGTTAACAGGCTTTAATGGTTCTGCAATATTGCTGCTACTACTCTCAGTAGAAAATATATCTCCCAATTCATCTATAACATTAGTTTTAGCTATGTCTTTCTTTGGCATATCTCCACTCTCACTTTTATATATGCTGGCGCCAGCAAAATCTAGTAGACTTTGACTATTTGACTCTGGTGTTGCTTCTACAGCTGGTACACTTTTTTCTTTTTTCTCGGCGACAAATTGATTGTACTTTTCAAAGACTTCATCTAATACATCGTTTGCGTGCAGAACATCATCTGAAATAATAAAGTTATTAAATATTGACAAAAAAAAAAACAAATAATAATTAGCTATGTAATAAAAAATAATGTATAGAAAAACATTCTGTATATATTTTATATATAATGAATAATATAGTTGTAAATATATTTAAGGTTTGATATTTAGAAATTATTTATTTAGAAATAAATTGAATATTTTGAGAATTACCAGGTTTACAATTTGCAATAAATTTGGTACACAAATAGGTCTTTAACATCTAGATTACATTATTATTAGTAATATATTAATTTCATACTTAAATTATGTGTCTCTGAGTCAGAGGTAATCAGCCTATGAAGCACAGGGCGCAGCAGAGCACAGCTGGCGTGGAGTTCGTGGATCAGTTGTTCTTCATCTGCAGTCACAGTCGAAGCATGCTCTAGCATGTCAAACAGCAGTGCAGCACTGTCTAAAGCTGTAGTCACTTCCTGAGCTCGACGGCTATTCACTTCATTGCGACGTTCTTCCTGGAATTTTTAAATAGTTAAAATAGAATTTTCTTGTCAGATATGTTAATTTTTTTACAAAAACAGTTAACAAAATATAGTCTACTTTAATAGAACTTAAAAGCAAAATTATAAATACATATTAACGTTTAATAGAACATAGAGCAGTATTTCCCAACCTTTTTTGTACCATGCCCTACTTGAACATTTCTAAAATTTTTATGCCCCCCATACATATTTTTTTCCGACAAAGTTTACTTGACCACTCTGATCGCCTAGTTGATATTTTGGTAAAGTGAAACGAAATTATACCACTCGTAGAATTGCATTTAAATGGCCCGGAGCAAGAAGGATTATAATCGTTTCGAGTCCAATTTTTATTGCCCCCCTTAACTATCAAATTGCCCCCCTGTGGAGCGTGGGCCCCACGTTGGGAAACACCGACATAGAGTCACATAAAAATAAAACATAAAGTAGTAGTGTTCATAGTAAAATTTTATATTTAGACAGTTAACATACCCGAAATAATAAGCATAAATTAATAGTAATCTTTTAAATAAATTTATGGTAAATATTTTTATGATAGTCTCTGTACTTCAATGTTCTAGTGAGAATTAATTAATGTGGAATATAAAACAGCCATCCATAACATCCCATAGCTGAGTTTGGGTCTTTCCCCATAAGATTGGCTATCACTATGTGGGCTGGATAATAAAAAGTTGTATGTACTTAAATGAAAGTTCTATATTAAGTACAGCAGCAAGAACTCACCTCACGGACCATTGTTTTTATGAGCCTATTGGCATGTTGAAGATCTTCAGGTTTTTTGCTTTGTAATAATTTCTTAAGTAATTTTGATCTTTCTTCATCTTCAAATATCGCGCTTTTAGCTCGCGTCCGTGGCAACGCCGCTGTGTCCTCCGGCGGGAGAGGAGGTGGCGTCTCTTTTATGACACCTTGATTTTTTAGCATGTCATATGCAACTTTGAATTTTGATTCCTTGGGAAACTCGATAGACCATGCATGTAACAATTGCAGCACCTTTAATACATACAAATTAACATATACAATTCAAACTTTCACATATAATCACAATTAAACTATAAAAAGTTTACAATGTATTTCTTAGACCAAGAACTTGTGAAAAATTGTACTAAATATTATAACAATTGCTGATGTATAGCAACAAAATCCTAACTGATTCAAGGAAAACTTAGATAAAATGTATCTACATATGTTTATTGTTGATTTTACATTACAATTTATGCCTAGATATATACTATATTATTTGTTTTTCAGGGCTTTGCTTGCATTAATCCATACACATATAATATATATGTTGTAAGGAAATAACCTACTTGTGTACTAAATTCTATTTAAATTCTTTTAGTGATTTTTCTGTTAAAGAGTAACTAACATTTACATTCACATGAATTTTCACATTATAATAAAATTAGAATAGATGTTATAATCTGTATCTTATCGATATGTGTCTTGTAGAGTGAAATAAGGACTCCAATATCCTCAAATTCAAACAACTTTCCAATTATAATTACATTTGGTGAAGCTATATAGATAGATAGATAGATAATTTATTTATATTACTTACAGCACATAAATTACCATAAAATAAAATACACATAAAAAGACAGATACAATAAAATACACAGTAAAAGAGATAAAAGAATGAAAATAAAAAAGCACAAATAAAAAAAAAAAACAAAATATATAAACTAACAATGTCCTTTCTTTCCCTTCCTTCATGCGTGTGCCATAGTAACACAAAATATACATAGAAAAATATACTGAATTGAAATTTTACAAAACATAACTATATATTATATTATATATTAATTTTGATAAATTTAAAAATTATCATAATTATGTTTTTTCATTCACTGATTAGCACAGCAGGTTAATAATTAATAATATTCCATGCTATATATGCTTATCAAAGCTAGCCAAAACAAACATAGAAGACTGAGAAGCTGTGTATTGCAGTGATTAAGTCATCCACTTAGGTACACCAGCATTGAATTTATGAGTTGCAGCTATCAAATGTATGCATAATTTCCGCCTTTTGCCTTGTCCAATATACTTTATAAAATATATTTTTGAAATCAGTATTTTAATTCCTTACCAATGAAACAATAATGTTTATAATATAGAAATATATACAGACAAGATAATTATTTATTAGATATTTAGATAGATTTTCACCTAGAAATATGTCAATATTTAATATCATTACTTTCATAGCCACAGCCTACATCATTGGTTAGAAAAGTGTTCCAGAATGGAACAGAAAATTATTTTACACATTATCATGTTCAAAATTATTTTTATTAAACATATTGTATTAAGAAAATAATTAGTGTTTATTTCTCTTGCCAAAATCTCTCCCCTCTCTCAAGAATATTCTGACCATTACCCTATATGAAATCTTGGCTTGAGCACTATTTCATGTTCATCAATCTATAATAATATTAATTTAGTTGTAAACAAGACGATTCCACAATTAGTTTATTACATATATTGAGTATTTCTTACCCTTGTTCGAACTTCGGGCGGTGTTCTATCGGCAAAATATTTTGGAGAAACAAGTTTTATCATTTCATTTAGGAACCGGAATTTTCCGATTTCAGCGTGAAAATTAGCGTCACATCGACGCATGCAGCGATCTATCATAGTAAGAGTCAAGAAAGCTTCACGGGTATTCAGTGTATGTATTCTTGCTGCAAGGGCCTGAGCCGCCAGCTGAGGCCCGTCAACATGTTCCCGCATAACTGCACAGAATGCTTCTACGGCGGCCGCATCCGGAGACAGCAATGATTCATGAGTAGCTTTTACTGATGAAAGAAAAAAATCAGTAAAAGCACAATGTTTTTTTTTATTAAATTGTAAAGAATATTTTTGTGTATCAGTACTTACGGATTAATGCTTCTAAACTTGTCAGAGTTACGTTCATTTTATTAATTAGAAGCCGGTGTCGTAAACACAAAATAAAATAATATTTTATCTAATAATTCATAATGAACGATGATATAAAACGATGGAATTTGATGATATCTATATAAATTTTGTTTGTTTGATTGACATTATGACATATGACAATTATTGTTATTATTGACAATTGATCATCAAAGAATTGGAAGATACCTACCAAAGTAGATATTCGCTGGAAGTGTCTATTTTAATATAGTAATCAAGTTAATATACTACTGTCCTAAAAAAACTATTGCCGACTGCCATTCGAACAATTTCCACAGTTTTCAAACATAATAATAAAAGTTTTTACAGTAGGAATATAATTAAACAAGAATTAGCTTACATATTTCATTCAAATTCATTTATAATATTTATTTTTTGTTACTTATCTAAAAAGTTTAATCTGTGGAGATTACTTACTTTGTGTAAATATCTTCAGGGAGTGTACGGATTTACTAGCTCATTCACTGGCTCATAAGGCAACCAAGCTGTCACTCACATTCTGTCGTTCATGTCATTGTATAACAGAGTACTTTTGCATTGTATTCCCCAATTTGTCAAAATATATCTGTACTGTCATTGTCAATCGAAATATCTATTTCATCGTATTATCAAAATCTGAATTCAAAAGTCTAAAAATAAATTCTTAAATAATATTAAAATATTATCTAATTAACGCATTATGGCTATTTCGCGAATTTCGCGGCTAGTAGCACAGACCAAAAATTTGTCTCGTCATGAACAGCACATCGTTCAAAGGAGAACAGCTACTACAACTCCAAGTGGTGCCATTCTCCCTGAACCAGAAAAGAAACCGTTTGGTCTACTAGGCGTAGTGTGTGCGGTTATACCAGGCCTACTTATTGGAGCTGCTATTAGTAAAAACATAGCTAATTTCTTGGAAGAGAACGAACTGTTTGTGCCTTCTGATGACGACGACGATGATGACTAAAACATAATTCGCGAGGTAACATCTTTGTCCTCTAAATTAGAAAAAGCGATAAAATTAAATCACTTTAAATATGTCCCATACTAAATTAATATTCTATTGTTTGGTCACCAAATGTATACTTAAATAAGTGATAAATTTCTTACTGTTGCTTTTATTTTTAAGAGGACTATTACAGAATGACGATTTTCAAGTTTAGGTTGTGCGCATTGAGTTGCGTAAGGAAGTTTATACAACTGTACAAATTATAACAATTTATTTTTTGAAACATGATTTTTCTTATATTTTACAAAAAAAACTTGTATTTATGAGAACCATCCCTTAGGGTATCCTCTGACCAAAATTTGAAATGATTTTAGCAGGAAGTGGTAAGAAGTTGAATTCAATTAAAATCAATTATTTAGGTAATAAAAATAAAAAAATATAGGTTTTATTTTAGGGAATATATACATGTTTTAATACTATGCCAACTTTATATTAGTTTATTAATGAATGATGACTCCAGATTTTTAAATCTCAACATTTTTTAATAAACAGCCTTGAAAGTTACAAAATTAGGACATAATAATAAGCAATTTCCGTGTGGTCCTGGCATAGAATAGGTCACCCTTTCTTTTCCCATTGGTATTGTAAGAGGCGACTAAAGGAGGGTGAGGGATAAGCAGTATCATTCCTCTTTAAACAGATGTTTTAGATCCGTTGGAGATCCAAAGCCTAACTGCGGTTGTTAATCTGCCTGCCAAGTGTGGTAACTCCTGGCAAAACCTCCCTAGGGGGAAGCTTATGTTCAGCAGTGGACAGTTAAAGGCAGGTATGGTGATGATAAATAAGCAATGGAAAATCTAATATCACTATCTGTCAAGTTTAGAAATATATTCATATAATTCAGGAATAAAAATGTATACTAAACCCTTAATTGTTTAAAACCAGAACCCTAAAAACTCCATTTTTTCATTGCTTTTTGCAGATAAATGTGAAAGGCCTATTGATTGCTTGTTAATTATTCCTACTTATCTTCTATTTGAGATTTTTCAGCCAGAATATTATTTAACATGAGGTCTTAATGTATTAATATCCTAATATTGAAACCTTCACTTACATATATATATTAGTACCAAATTGTTAATAATCGATTTTTCTTCTTTTTCAGATACTTAATATGGGCAAATATATATAATTAATATATAATAAATTATTTAAAAACAAAGTTTGTTATAAAATTTTATTAGTATAGGTTTGTTACAAAAATCTCTATTACTTTAGTTTGAGCTCAAGCATTTCAATCAAATATTGCACTTATCATATTTAATAATTGAACATTAATTAATTTATATATATTAGTGGCATTATAGAATTTCTCTATATTTACATAAATTGATATACAAGAATTACAGTGTCAAAAATCTAACTTCGAATCTACTTCAGCAACAGCTTACTATATACATCTAAATAAAATATTAGGTAATAAATATTTGAATGCATCATGATAAAATGCATGTATAAATTCCATGTAGAGTAATATAAAATCTTTGTAAATCTAGTCAAATATTACTCTGATTTATATAGGCAATGCTATGTATGATAAAAACATTTAAATTTACCAGACTGTTAATCTTGGGACAAAATCATATATTTAATTAGATTTTATTTTCACACCAAGTCTTAGTCATAGGATAGGCAGTGAGATTACCTTTGATGTTTATTACTATTGTATTTTTTGTTATTATTATTAGAATATAACTTGTGTTGTATAGAACATAATTTAACTTGACCTGATTTAATGTTTTCATTGTGAAAATATTAACATGTTTTGATATAATTAAAACCTGAGATTCATAATTATAAAAGTTACTTTAAACATTGTCTTGAATGTAAATTAAGTCAAATATTTACTGTAAATAAAAAATTCAATATTTAGGCAACATTTTAGTATAATCAATAGTTGGTTAGAAATGAGTGTATAATATGGTTCAATATCCTGTATTTTCTGTGCCAATTTTTATATCACTTTTTGTTGGTCATACATCTAAGGTTTTATTGTATATCAATACATATGGCATACTTCTCATTGACAACTGTAATTAAATACAGTGAATAGAATTTTGTGCCCCAAAATTAAAGTCTGTATTGCATAATATTTTATAAGTGAAAATGTTAAATAAATGACTTGAAAAAATGGCATGATATCAGTCTTTCAATTCCATTGTAGTCATTTTCCACATTCCCTATACAGTAAAAACTAAATTGTTACTGTGATTCTATAGTGATTTAAATGCAAATAATTAAGATTTTGAAATATATTCAATGTTAAGGAGTACTATGCTAATCAACATTGAAATAAATCATACAAATAATATGTTTTGTGCTACATTGTCACACTGAGCAGTATGATATTTATGCCCCATTTTATGGAGAGAAAGCCTATGGCCAATTGGTAACATATTGGTATATTAATATGAGGTCTTTATAAGTTGAACAGGGTAAATTTGGAACATTATGAAAGTTGTTCTAAGTATTTATTAATACATTTTTTTATATAAATTTGAATAGTAACCAAGCTGATGGCCCACATGATGAAAAGTGGTAACTGACTCTTATAGACATGAGCAGTACCATCGATATAACAGAGTGTACTGTTTCACCCATGATACCCCCCAAACATTATATATATATATATATAAACCGACTTCAATTGTGAGAAAACTAATTATTTTGATTTAAAAGTAAATTACTGAATTTTGATAAAACTTCTATGGGACCAATCTGTAAATATATCGTCATAGTTGTAGAATACTGACGGATATATATATATATATGTGTGTGTGTGTTGGAATTGAGATTAATTATATAACAGAAATGTATGTTTTAGTGTTCAAGTATTTATATAGCAATAAAACGGTTTCAAATGAATTGAATTAAAGTATATTAATAGAAGAACTAATAACGTGTAAATTGTATATACTCGTAATACTGTTTATTCTTTGTAACATCTTGTTTATGAAAAGGTATAAACTATTATTACAAAACCTTAAAGAATAAATCATTCCTGTCAGTTGCGTCAATCTCATTTAATATTTACTTATTGAACTGACATTATTTAATTATAATAAGTTAGTTCATTGTCATTCAGTTAATTGTGGATAACCAATTAGACTAATAAAAGTTTATAGCATGAGCAAATAATAGAATATTACATAGTCTGTGTATGCGTGCTCTGAGATGCTTGTCATAATAATTTTATGTAGGGTTGCCCAAATTAACCTATTTGGCGCCCTTAGACAATTTTTTTGACGATGTTGGTCTTAAAAGCTATCATAGATAGAGCCGCACGGCAAACGCTTATACTTTGTCGTCGCTTTGGTTGGGCGAACTTTAACCAGATACAAAATTAAAAGCATACATGTCATAATATACATTTTACATTGACTAATACTGCATTATTTAATGATATAAAATGGTATAAAGCAAACCAATGGTATGACCATTCCTTTGCTACTATTTAATATAATAATATCAATAGTACGGGTATTTTTCAATATTAATTTTCTTAGTTTTTTTTTTTTTCCAGTACTCTTGTACTTTTAACAAGTGATAATGTTTTTGCAGTTGTATATATAAAATAGTTTTAGATAGCAACGTGTGGCGTATTGTTCTTTGGAAATGTATCTACCGAAAGTTTCGTTGGTTACTTACATTGTTTTCAAATTACAACATATATACCTACCTATTTTATGTAATAAAATTATTCTTCAAAATTGAAAACAATGGTTCAATTCCAATTTTCAAAGTATTTAGTAGTAAATTCTACCAACAGTAAGCACTGATGGATAAGGTAATACTAAAAACAAGTATATATATATATATAGGATTGGATTAACTAACCAATTTGTCTTGATGTTAAAAAATTTTTTGGTTTATTAAATGCAGATCAATTTGTTTACTCAGGCGGCCTCTTGTGCTCGCCCCAACCGTGGAAGCACTTGGTGAAACGTCGCGACTCTTTGTCTTTTAAGGTGAGGAACAGTTTCCGTGGTTTGTCTGGTTGCATTGACTTCATGTGTTGAATGTACACCTTAGAATAAAAAATATAAAATAAGAATTGGAGGTAAAGAAAACTTTTATATTATAACTATTATATTCTTTATTGCGCTTGTAAAAAATTGAAATCGTAGCATGTAGGCAGGAACAATACTTACATGTCATAGCCAAAATTTCTTGTTTATGTTACTGAATGTACTATTAAAGGAGTGTAAATGAAACATTTTCTCAAAAGAAACATTGATCAAAAACAAACAGACAAAAGACTTTGAGACTTACTTGGGAAGTGAACACTTTCTGATAGTATAGAGTCTAAGCGAGTCGAGCGAGACTTTTGGTGTAGCATTTTAAGATATAAGTTCTATTAAATATGACCATTAGTTTAATAAAAAGGTATAATTAATTTATATTTCAAATACAAAATAAAAAATATTGGTTCCTTACTTGTGCTGACTTATATGCAAGTTTAATTTCCACCTCGGAGCACTTGGCTCCAAGCCATAGAAAAACTTGCTCGCCGTTGTCCAAAATCATGATGTCGTCATCAGCTAAATCGTCCTATAACATATAATTTTAATTACTAGTAATAGGTATTTTTAACCGATTTCAAAAAGAAGGAGGTTCTAAATTCATCGTATTTTTTTATATTTGTTACCTCATAACTCTGTCAGGTCAAATCGATTTGGAAAGCTCTTTTTTATCTAAACGATGTCAAAATCGGTTCTGGAGGTTAATTTTTAAATCGAAATAACAAATTTTGTCATAATTGAAGTTTTTTTTTGTGGGACACAATTGTTAATTATATTACATAAATTAATGATACTTTTACAACTAGCTTTTTGTTCTGACAAAATAGTGTTCAGTTTTTTTTTTGGGTAAACGGTTTTAACAATTATTTATTATAAATTTAAACTTATCTGAGTGATAATGGTAGGCGTGCTCCTCTGTTATTTGATATACTCAGTGAATTGTAAATATGTGGATTATTTTACGTTCACCACAATGATAATACACAACAAAAGCTTTTGTCCACCCCATAATTTTTCACAGTTTTTCTTCTTTTTTTATATACACTTATATTTTTTTGACATGTGTATTGATTTTGCAAATAAATCACATATACAGGCATTTTTTTTTTTCATTCACTTGATATGTAATGATCACCGAAATCCATAGCACTAACAACACCAGAGAGCCTGTGTGTTGTCGACCTTTATAATTAATTTGAAATAATGTTTACTGTACCTGGCAGAAATCTGTGCATTTCTCGGACACTGTGAAGTATCCCTTCTCGTTGGAACACCGGAAGAGACGGGTGTAGTTGAGGTAGTCGGCGTCGGTGTCATACGGTTTTCGACCACCCAGCGCCACCCAGAAGAAATTGTCGGGCTCGCTGCCCTCCGTTAGTACCTTATAGATAAACAGATTATGATGTTATTTTTTATATCATCTCTCTCTTCGGCCACTTTATTACTGAAGGTCGTGTCCTTGAAAGGTGTCTGTTGCCTCTTTTTATACCATAAAGGTGGCAAATACAGTCCTTTTGATGCTAACTAACTACTATAACCTAAGTATATCTGATTTTGGTTTATTATTGTAAATTGCTAGATGTATTCTAGTGATAGTTAAAACAAACGTGTAATTTACTTGTATTTATAAAAAAAAAAAAAAGTCAACATATTTTCAGCTAACACTTGAAGTTTATTACGAATTATGTTCTTCATTTGCAAGCAAATAACAAAAGCCAAAATAATACCTTAATCCTAAAACCTCCATTGAAGTTAGCTTAATAAATATGATTATTAAACTAACTTCATTGGAGGTTTTAGGATTAAAGTGATTGGCACATAAATTTATGACAAAATTTATATTTCTGACAAATGCGTTTTCTTAAAAATATTAGTAAGTGCGTAATCCTTACCGCGTGTAGCGTATCTTCAACTGAGGTAATTAATTACGCTATTATTAGTGTATTCAGATAATACGCACTGTAAAAATATCTGTTGCTGAGGTGGTATTGCTGTTTATTATGAACAGGTAAAGTATTTACCTGCAGGCTGACCCAGGGATTATTGAACTTCTCCTCGGCGATTTGTTCAATGAGTCGCGCTGAGTCCGCATCGCTCTTGCTGCCGATCCACGCGTAGACTATAGCGGACGATGTGTCGTTTGAACCCTCCAGTGGTACGTTTAATATATAACTGTAATAAATACTCCAATATATTGCAAATATGTAATGATCTTTTTGTATTCATGTTACAGTAACTTAAGTACGTTAAAACTAGATTTTATTATATCTTTTTAGCTATTATTTTTTAGAAATAAAAATATTTTATTGTTTGACCATTTCACTTGAATATTACTAAAAATTGCAGCTTTTGAATGACCACTGAAACTGAGTTAGTATTTTGAGAGAAATGTCTTTAAGGCTTCTCAGTTTTCTCTTCTTTTTTTTTATACAACTTAGAATGGCAAACAAGCTGATGGCCCACTTGATGGAAAGTGGTAACCGTCGCCTATAGACATGAGCAGTACCATAAACATAACAGAGTATACTGTTTCGCCCATGATACCCCCATGTGTTGCCGTTCCTGAGGACTCAGGTGTTATTCCTCTGTACCCAGTAAATCCACGCCATATCCTTCAAACCGAAACATAGCCATGCAGACACAGCTGCTTCACGGTTGAAACAAGAATGGGACAGAGGTACCCAAGCAATCGACTTTTGTACAAAGTCTCCTTCTGTTACTTCTCTGTCTACATTGTAATAGAAAGATAGGTATATAATAGAGTGAGGGAATTAATGGTTGCAGGTGGTTCTAACTCAGGATGGTAATGCAATACAATAACTATACAAACCAGAAAGCACTATTGAGCTGCGCGGCGTCTGCCTTCACTTGTATGAGGCGCGTACAGAGTGCAGATCCGTTGCTGCGCAGTTCAAACAACTCCACCGGTTGTCGCCCACCCTCCTAAGAACCAATAAAAAATAAAAGTTTACAATTTTATTAAAATTAGCTACAAAAATCTTAAAAGGGGGAAAATAGCAAATAACTAGATGCCTGCCTATTCCTATATCGTTTCCAATTATTGCTGCGGCCGTGTGGTCCCGGCATAGAATAGGCCACCCCTTCCTTTCCCGTAGCTGTCGTAAGGGCGAGGGATAGGGAGCATTGTCCCTCTTATTACATCTTAACTGCGGTTGCCAATCTGCCTGCCAAGCATGGTAACTACTGGCAAAACCCTCCTAGGGGGAGACTTGTGTTCAGTGGACATTTGAAGGCTGATGTGATGATGATGATTCCAGTGGTGGAGTTACTAGCAGGGTGATAGGCTGGGGTCTAGAGACAGATTTTAGGGCTGGTGAATCTGAGCTGAATTATTTTTAAACGGACTTCAAAAAGAAGAAGGGAGTTACTCGATTTGGTTGTATTTTTTTTATGTTCGTTACCTCATAACTGCGTCAATTATAATCTGCAAATATACTTTATACGACAGGTATATATATTCATTATATATATTCTATACAGATTTCAGCCATATACTAGTCATTTATTAATTCAGTCATATACAGATTTCACTTTCATCACACATAACTTACGGGTTTAGTATTCCTCTTGCCATCTTTAATAATGAACTTCCTATAGAAATGTGCCATGAACTTGAGACTCTCTTGCTGCTGGTGAGTCCTCACGACATCTAGGCGTCTGCACAGCTGTTTGAACTTCCTCTCGAGGCCGAAGGTGAATGTGAGCCAGCCCATGTTGGGCGCGCGCCGGCCCTGCCAGAAGTACACTACCCACGACACGCACTCAGACTCCGCCTCTTCCGCTTCGTTCGACGCATCGCTCTCATCTTCTGGCTGTTGTAACAATAATTAAATTCAAATTAAAGGACTACAGTTTCATATTATTGACCCTTACAAATACTGAGGGATATTAGTAACAGTACTAAAAATATTTACGAAATCAAAAGGAAAGCTTATTATTAATTTATCCTAGTACTTTTGAGTTCTAATGTAACCTAAATAAACTTTATCTTTTATCATAGAGAAAATAAATTATGAAAAATTATTTTCTTACAATCTTAAATTCTTTTTAAAGTTCCATTATTTTGTTTGAAGTTTATTTTATAATACGATGACGCCACTTTCGCAGAGGTGTCTGTTACGGGTGCAAACCCCTACCAAACTATACTACAACATACCAATACATATTGCACAATAGCTGTTCCCACACACAAATTCCCAGAAAGAATAAAGACACACTTTACAAAGAAAATGGATAAAAGGGAATACGACAGGGCAGTGAGAAGCCAGTATGTTTTAAGTCGCGAACGTACGGTGTAATAAACCGGTTAAATATAACATATAATTGTTTATTAACACATCATGAGGTTCTAAAGATTTTAAATACAGTTAAGGTGTTGCAAATTATATATATATATATATATATATATATATATATATATATATATATATATATATATATATATATATATAATTCATATTCTTATATTATATTTCATATTTTACACATTGTAATATAGAGTTAATTACAATGTGTAAAATATGAATTAACCTGTAAATATATACTAACCTCGGCGGGCATGATGTATTTACATAAGAACACGTAACAGTCGCAGCTGTGGAATATGCCGATCTCGTGGTCTGGCAGCCGAACGAAGTGTCGCCCCTCTAGCACGAACGCCTCCATCGCCTCCAAGTCTTCGTTCCACTCGTCTGACAGTGTTTTGACTTCGGACGGCTGCATCGGTGGCTGGCGGGGAGTGAACAGAGCTGACAGGTCTGCCCTGTTTACAATACACAGAAATAGTTTTTTTTTTATATATTTTTTTTTATACAACTTAGAATGGCAAACAAGCTGACGGCCCACCTGATGGAAAGTGGTAACCGTCGCCTATAGACATGAGCAGTACCATGGACATAACAGAGTATACTATTTCACTCATGATACCCCCCATACGTTGCCATTCCTGAGGACTCAGGTGTTATTCCTCTGTACCCAGTAAATTCACGCCATATCCCACCCTTCAAACTGAAACACAGCCATGCAAACACAACTGCTTCACGGTTGAAACACGAGTGGGACAGAAATACCCAAGCAATCGACTTTTGTACAAAGTCTCCCTCTGGTATATTCTTCTGGTATAGTCAGTATGTTCTATGATATCTATGGTGCTGTTCAAGTCTATAGGTGACGATCACCACTTAGCATAAAGTGGGTTGTCAGATTGTCATTCCAAGTTTTAATCTTGTACCTATACTAAACATTGACAATTAACCCACGACACCTTCTGATTTACTTTAAATAAATTTACTAGCATTTACTCGTGACTTCGTCCGCATCACTGGAATATATTGTCTGGGAAAAGTAAATATAACAATAGTTGCAATATTTTTGGAACAAATTTAGAATTACAATATTTAGGCCTCCTGTATACTTTGTCTATCTTATCCCAATTATTTGAAGTCGGTGTAATATATTTATATTCATATTATACGAGGTTTTGGCTTTAAGTTTTATGACCGGCCGTCTGCCTTACGTCAACCGGGGGGAGAAGGGATTGTTAGTAATGGGGATAGATAGCCCCATGACTAGCAATATACTATATCAGGTCGACCTCCTCGTGGAAACCATCGTGATTGATTTATTGTTAGGTTTGTCACGGTGGACTAACTGACCTATTTCATCCTCATCTATCATCTCTCACTGGTGCCCCGCCGGTGTATAGCAATAGCGCAGACGGGATTACCATTTCATTATTAATCATTAAAAAAGCTTTACGTCACCCTACCTGGAAATGTGTAATTTTGTACAAATTAGAAGTTACTGGCGGTTGACCGTCGTTATGTAATAAAATAATTTATTGTACACATATTGTTAGAATAGTATTATTTTTTATGGATGGCGGCGTGTACATACTTGGTCTCCTGCTGCTTAGCCCAGCTGGCGAGATCAGCACCGGTGCGGGCAACAGATTCCGCAGTACGGGTAAAGTCTACGGCGATCACTTCGTCCCACCCGGCGAAGTATGTTTTAAACACCTGATTGTTCAATAAACTTATTGTTAAAATAAACATCGAATTCCTATTTAATTTATATTGAATGTTGCACAAACAATACACATACGATAATATACAAAGTTAGACCCAAACGGGTATAAACATATTATGTATACTGATTGTTTTTAGTCTGTAGGCAACCATTATAGCTGGTGCCACATTCAGCAGTCATCGAAGTAGTAACCAACGTGGATCGTCCGTTGTGTAGCGCGTCATATAAAAAAAAAAAACATACAATATAGGGGGAAGGGTTTGTTAGTAATGCGGACTGTCAGTCCCATTACTAGCAATATACTCAGTCAGGTTGACCTCCACATGGTGCTCCCTAGAAACCATTAAGTTGAATTCCAGGTGTAATCATTACGTTGAGCTAACCGACCTGCTTTTTCATTTTCACCCATCATCCCTCACTAGTGCCCAGTCAACGTATACTATTAGAGCAGGCGAGGTTACTATTCTACTATATCCATTAAAAAAAAAAAATACAACGTAGCTTATCTTCTATCACTCGTAATGTGATTGAGATTACCTAATTGTATGCAATGCTTCGCTTGTGCCAATGCTTCAGACATTGGCGTTCCGTCGCGGATGATAGGCGATCGAAGATCAGCTTAATGTGGCCCATAAGATTAGATTATGAAGCACGGTGTATACTTTAAGTGTTGTTAGAAAATGAATTAAGCTTTCATACAGTCTGTACGAGTACCTGCGTCTCGGTGCCCTCCTGCAGCCTGGTAACTAGCGCATGATCTGGGCGCGGCGCCATATTGAACAACTCCTGCGCCAGTTTCACTGCTGCCGCGCGCACTAGCCGCGACGACTTCTTGCCGAACCTGCCGAAAGCATAGTATTTTTTTAATAAATAAATAAGGGATCGATAACCACCTATCTTAGGTGGTAAGTAGGTGATCTACATATATAGTAATACTAAACATAACTTTGATGCTTTGAAATTTTGTATATATTAATCATACCAAAATCGCACAAGTACATAATTTGTAAAATTTTTTTTTTTACCAGAGGAGGCATTGTACAAAAGTTTACTTGGGCACCTCTATTCCATTTGTGTTTCTACCGTGAAGCAGTTGTGTTCGCATGTGTTTTTCGGTTTGAAGGGTGGGATATGGCAGCGAATTTACAGGGTACAGAGGAATAACCCTGAGTCCTCAGGAATGGCAACGCATTGGGGGTATTATGGGTAAAACAGTATACTCTATTATGTCCATGGTACTGCTCATGACTATAGGCTACGGTTACCACTTTCCATCAGATGGGCCGTTAGCTTGTTTGCCGTTCTAAGTTGCAAAAACAAAAATTTTTTTCATGATTTTAATATCAATTTCGTGTTCGACCAGTGTTGTGTACTGACCAGACGAAGACATCAATGTGTGCGTCCAGTATGTAGACGTTCCTGGTGGCAAGCACGTGTCGCGTGAGGCTCGCCTCGGGCTGCGGCAGCTCCAAGTAGCCCATGCCCAGCTCCACACGGTACAGCCGCGGCGGAAGCCACAGCACGTCCTCCGGCACATGTTCCTATACGAAATGTTATAAGGTAACTAATCGAACGACTTTTAACGCACTATCATCAGCAAATAATACTATATTCGCTTCGTGTAAGAGTAACACTAAAAAAGGGACCTAAAATTGAGCCTTGGGGAAACACTTAGTTGCCCCTTATGATACACACGTGAAAAAAGGGGTGGGCGGTTCTATGCCGGGACCACACGGCATATCGCCAGTTAATGTACTTTTTGCGCGGACTTTATCATAAATGTTATATTTTTATAAGTAAAGGGGTAAGTGATTTCTCAGCGTGATCATGTCTTGTACTTGTTTGTATCTATAATAAGTTTACTACTGTAATATTTTGGAGAAAATAATAAAAAATATCTATCTATCTAAGTGAATGACTATATTGACTTTAACAAATACCATTCGACATCTATTATTACCTGCGGCATAAACGGTGTCTCGTCTTCATATTCCAATGTTTCCCAGAAGATCCGGGGCTCTTTTCCAGGAGGCTCTGCGATCAATTCAGCTTTGTTCTTTCTCTCTTCTTTGTTCATTTTCTCGGCGAACAGTCGAGCTTTAGACTTTAGTGTGTTCTTTGCCTTTTTACCATTCCTAAAAGATTTTTTTGTATTATTTTGAATATGTAGATAGATTCGTAATTTATATTAACAGAAATAAAAATATTTGTTTTTAAAATCTTTTTATTGATTGAGATTATTTACAATGTTGTTTGTAACATATAATATTAGATCGTTAATCCGCCAAGAATTAAATAAATAAGTAATGTATGAGATTATGATTATTTTAGATACAACTTGATGTTTTCTCAATAACCAATAATAATATCACTGACGCTAGAAATAACTGAACGGGTAACACGGTAATTGCACCTTAACCAATGCCCAAACTATTAAAATTTTACTGCTCCTGGCAAAAACATTTACGGGTCTTTTGATGGCAGTCAGACTTGATTTCAAGTTAGCAATTAACCTAAATTTGTATAGTAAAGTAACGTAATGTAAGTGTATAGCCTCATTTTGTTCAGTCAATCGGGAAAATTAGTCCGTGAATTACTCACCACAAGAATATAGTGAGGCCGGCGTCGAGTAAGAAGACGTATCTGGGATCGAGTTCTTGAGCTCGCGGAGGCACCGGCTGCAGACGTAGCCCGCTGCCTGCGCTCTCCACGCGGTACAATCGCCGCACGTAGTGCTGCGTACACGCATATATCTTATTTATTGAAATCTTAATGCATGAATATATACATAAGTATACATATGGTGGACTTAACACTTAATAGCGTTCTCTACTATGCAACTATAGGGCGGAAGAGAATTAAGTTGGCAATGCTTACACTGTAGTTAGTTGTATAAAGGATCTTGAATTCAACCATAAACAATGATGCTTGCGTTATAAATGAATTTGCATGTAATTATAGCACACATCACGTGGTACAATCGTGTTCAAGTTATTGGCCAGTATCTGCATCCATGAATTTGAAGAAAAATAACTCTTATTAAAAAAAAAATATTATTATTCTCTAATAATAAACTAAAATAATAATAAATAACAGGACAAAATGGTCCATCTGATGGAAAGCGGCTACCGTCTCCCATGAACACCTGCAGCACTAGTTCCTTGTGCGTTGCCGGCTTATTAAATGTTTAATTATAAACATTTTTTAATTATAAACATTTACCAGAGGGAGACTTTGTACAAAAGTCGATTGCTTGGGCACCTCTGTCCCATTCGTGTTTCAACCGTGAAGCAGCTGTGTTTGCATGGCTGTGTTTCGGTTTGAAGGGTGGGATATGGCGTGAATTTACAGGGTACAGAGGAATAACACCTGAGTCCTCAGGAATGGCAACGCATGGAGGGTATCATGGGTGAAACAGTATACTCTGTTATGTCCATGGTACTGCTCATGTCTATAGGCGACGGTTACCACTTTCCATCAGGTGGGCTGTCAGCTTGTTTGCCATTCTAAGTAGTATAAAAAAAAAAAAAAAAAATTTTTTAATAGTCATTTTTTTATGATTGTACCTCCCATTCGGAATCCAATTTTAGATGAGAAGAATGGACGAGAAACTCAACTGTTGCTTTTGTATGTAGTTTTTTTTTTTTACTACGGAATACCGTTTCCAATATATTGAAAGCTTCACACACACACTTCAAACACTTCGCACTTTGGTCTCAAGTTTTTCTGTTTTCATGTGTATGAATATTATAATTTTATGATATGATATGTGGAGTGAGTTATATTTGATATGTACGTATATATCATAATTACCGGGTCGTCGACGGTAAAGAAGCCGGAGGGCGTGTGGCTGCCCTGTATGTAGACGGGCGGCGTGGGGAACAGCGCGAGGAAGTCGGGCGTCTCGTCGCCCTGCTCGTGGCGCTGCGTGCGCTTGGCGCCCAGCAGGTTGCGCAGGTTCACCGCGTGCATCGCCGCGCATGCGCCTTTGTCTAGCTGCACGCGGCGACACATGCAAAATGTGTTCAATTCGATAACTATACTAACTGGGCAAAGCCTCACAAACCAGAAATCGGATGTGGTATTGTGTAACTCCATATTAAGTATTAAAACATTGATGCAGTTAATCAAATTTGAATAATTAGAACTAACTAAACCAACAATATATTAGGATAAAAAAAAATCTGATTATTTTTGATATGAACGAAAAGAACATTATCATATGACTTTAACCACGAGAGTAATTTAAAACATTTATCAAATAAAAAGTAATAATCTATAATAATCACTTCAAAGTCTTAATTTATATTGTTGGACCTATTTTAACAGATATAAGAATAATTCCGGTATTTTATTTATTAGTTAGCACGCTTCATCCGTCCATTATTGTACAGTCACTGCACAAAAATGCTAGTGATCTGGTTATCATGAGATAACATGCACGCTTAGTAGTTATTGAAATTACGACAGCATTTTATCTCTAAATAGCTACAAAAACTTTCCGGCGACTTTATGAGCACTGTCCTTGTTGTGCGGTAGCGTTATTCATACAAAGTATTGTATGCATATTAGTAAATCAAACATGGTTCGTATTTGATTATTTAGGTCTAGTTTAGACTCTAAACCTCACATCACAATCATAGTTGTATCATGACTCAAAAACTTTCTGATGCATAGAGGTTATTGTACTCTATAAAAAGAAAAAAAAATACGTTTATGTATTTTTTTTTTAATAATATAACTAATAATTACATAAAGTAACTATTGTAGCTAATGAATACTAGCAAAGTTAGAGGTATCACTCGTTCGTTGTGGGCCTACGTGACGTCACAGTACTATGTCATTCCGTTACTATAAACTCTCCCTTAGCAATATGTAAGCAAGCTGTTTAACTGCAGAAACAAGGCAAAGGTTTTTTTTATACCATAAAGATGGCAAACAAGCATACAACCCGTTTGATGTTTTTTTTTTTATGCAACTTAGAATGGCAACATCTGATGGAAAGTGGTAACCGTCGCCTATAGACATGAGCAGTACCGTGGACATAACAGAGTATACTGTTTCGCCCATGATAACCCCTATGCGTTGCGATTCCTGAGGACTGTAAACTGTCTGTCGCTTGTAATACTATGGGTGTCACCCTGAAGAAACCTTAACATACACTTTTTGAAGAGCCTTTTTTAAATCAAATAAATCTATAGGACCTCCAGATGAATTCAATCCGTTGGTACATACGTATTTATTAGTATATTCATGAGAAAGAACAAGACGTAGGGCGTAGTCTCGTTTCATTTCAAGCACGTAACAGCAATAACGTATCCATCGATATATTCGCTTTTCATTTGTGGTTGAGAAATTAACTTTTTATAGAGTTCGTAACATTATTATTTTTAAAGCTTATTTAAGTTTATTTAAAGAAAATTAATAAGTTCATTATATTACCGTTAAGTCTATAAACTTGTAAAACGTATGATTTTTTTTATTATTATATGTATTATTATTATATATTTTTATATGTTTATATCACTGAGGCGGCAAACAAGCATATGGCCTACCTGATAGTTTAGTAATCAGAGAAAAATACTCACAGTAGCCTTTGAGCCAATCCAAAAGTGTATATCCCACGAAAGCTGCCCTTGTTCCTCTAAGAATGTCTTCAGTACGATGTAGCAGTCACCCTCAAAGAATTTCCCATACGCAACCTGTGATTAAAAGAAAAAAAAGTTTTTAATAATGAGAGGAAAATAAACTGAAAACAAATTACATATAAATTAATTAACAATTTGTATTTTTGAACATCTGTGTAAATTATTGATGCCCATTAATTCTTCTCTTTCCGCGTCTAGGGAAGGTAGATAAAGTTTTGTTGGAGAAATCAGTTCAGGGTACAATAGGACTGATATACCTGAAGAAGGTAAAAGCCCTTAAAATATTAAAAAAAAAAAAAAAAAAACAATTTGTATGTGCACACATACAAATTGTGTGTGTGTGTGTGTGTACTTACCTCTTCAACGGGGGCGGGTATAAAATTCTCAATCTCCCAGATTTGCAGGCCTGGCGTCTGACCGGTATCCTCGTCGAAGAACTCTGAATAGTCCAATGGTGGCTTCTCCAAACTCTCGTCCCAGCGCTTGGGCCTATACCAGAATACAATGAATCACATTAAGTTTTTTAGTGAAACCTTAGTTAAAGTTATTAATACCAATGCGAAATTATAATGATACAGATACCGCAGAGGTCTAGACTAATTCAAAGCGATGGAAAATGAATTCGAGAAGTCTCTAGGACCGGCGTGTAAGCATGAAATGATTTATGAAAATAGAGATATAAAAATTAATGATTAAGAGATTGATACCACGAATTTATAAGGACAGAGCTATTTTCTAACGACCGTAGCGTGTAAATATAAATAATATTGTGATTGTAATGGTGTAATGAAATGCGATTACAACTGCCAAAGATAATACAAAGACATTCCGTACGAGAGATGTTTTTAAATATCATACAGAAAAAATAGACAATTTACTTCATAACAATAACAAGAATTGTTTATTATCTGTGTTGGTTAATAATGCATAATCATAATACATTGATATGCATTTTTTTTAGTTAGTATATCTTTTATTTAGAAGTAGATTTAGAGCTGAACAAATTATCTAAATTTATATTATTAGAAAATCACTTGAAGGTGGCACTCTTTTACGAAACAAGTTTTTTTTCTAACAATATCAACATTCACGACTAGTAACTTAACCCAGGTTTACCCAATTTGATGCGATCCTTTATTAATCTATAGCGCCTCTCATAAATCTCATTAAATCATCCCTTAGTCAATGGAATGGTAACCTCGCCTGAACTATCAGTATACGCTGGCGGGACACCAATGATAGATGACAGGTGAGGATGAATGTAGATTAGTTGGTCCATCGTGAAAACTTTCACAAAAATTTACTACGATGGTTTCCACGGGGCTGTACCCATTTACTAATAATCCCCTCCCCCCTCAAGGCCGGTAGTGCCGTGGTACTCGAGGGGTGGTACTGACTTGAGCTCGCTGTTGCGCTGGTCTGGCCGCTGGTCGGTGTGCTGCGTGTTGGCCTGCTCCTGCATGCCGCGCAGTATGAGCGCCGAGTCGCGCTGCTCGGGCTCGGCGCGGCCGCGTCGCAGCCGCAGCTTGCGTGCTATCGGGTCCGACTTCACGCCTAAACAATTTCACACTATATAGTTCCAGTCGTAATATCATTGAAGTTACTATCATCATATCAGCCTTTAACTGTCCACTGCTGGGCAGTAATAATAAGGGATAATAAGGGGAGTTAAGCCAGTAGTTGCCACGCTTGGTAGGCGGGTTTGCAACTGAAGTTAGACCTTTGAGGATGTTTTTAAAGGGACGCTGCTGCCCATCCCTCGCCCTTGGTCGTCTCTTACGACACACACGGGAAAGGAAGGGTTGGCCCATTCTATGCCTTTATGTTTAAATCTACAAAAATACTTCTTTCTACCATAAGTGGATGTTTTACCAATGTAAAAAAATAAACCTGTCTCAAATATCAGCTGTCTACAATTAGTAGTTTTGTCTGTGTTGATTGTCAGTTAGGACTAACGATCTTGTGAAAAAATAAATAAATAATACATTTAAAACAAGTTAACTCACTGGTAGGCGTCTAACGATCTTGTGAAAAAATAAATAAATAATACATTTAAAACAAGTTAACTCAATGGTAGGCGTCTAACGATCTTGTGAAAAAATAAATAAATAATACATTTAAAACAAGTTAACTCACTGGTAGGCGTAGTAGGTTCCGTAGTAGCGGCGCCTGCTAACTGCAGTTGTGCTTGCAGAGAGAAGTCAATGTTGTAGTACTGCAGGCCGGCGCCCCTGGGTCTTTCCACAGGCTTCGGGGGCATCACCAGGTCGGGGTTGTCGTGGAGTTGCAGGCTCTCCAGGTCGCTCAACAGGTGTATAGCGTCGGGTAACGTGATCAGCTTGTTGCAGCTCAAATTGAGTTTCTTTAGGGAACCACATCTAAACGAAGATTGTGCTCAAAATTAGAATATTTACGTATCTATGGAGGGTGAATGTTTATGAATGTTAGCTTAATTTATGGGAAATTTTATCTATGGTTGAGTGAAAACTTAAGTTATTATTTAAAGTTTCAATTATCATAAAAGTAGAAGATTATAATATTTTATTATAATCTTTATTTAATAGAGTTTAAATAGATATATAATTTATTTGCATTACTTACAGCACACATATAACAACATACATAGATAGACATATACAAAAAAAAAGAAAGAAATAAAAGAAAATACATAAAAAAGTAGCATGATTTTTTTTTTTCATTTCGTACGTGTACCATAGGCTACTCTAATACAAAACAGTCACAACTCAGTTTGTTGCTTTGCCCTCTAAAAAGCAATACATCGTTATTCTGAGGTGGCCAAAGGCCTGTTTGCAGAAGTTTTATTAAGTAACATGAAGAATAAGGAGTCAAGCATAAATAGTATCAGGAGCACCATAGTGATGCTAATGGTGCTGTTTATATTTATAAGCGATGGTTATTACCTTCCATCGTAGAGATCCACTTGTTTGTCATTCCAAGCTTTATGCTTTATAACAAAACTCTAAAAATCAGTATAAACTAACATAATCATTAGAGTTAGATTAACTTTACATTTTTATTTGATTCGCTACATGATATATTTCACTAAATTACCAAAGCAATATTAAAAAAAAATCTTGTCTCTAAAGAGAGATAAGTTTATATAATGGCGTATCGGAGTCGACTCAGGTTTCTGTAACTATCAGACAAAATGTTAAGCTTCAGTAAGCAAGTCTTCACTAATGAGTGCTCACAAGTGATTTATGAGTAAATCAATCAAGCAAACGATGTGGTATCATAGACGATACGATGCTATGACTGCACTTGAGTTTTGCATGAATATGTGCATACCTATTTAATTATGATTTACGCATAGAAGTGAAAGTTGCACGAGACAAAAATATGTAACTATTGCGATGTGTTATCGAAATGTGGTTACTTGGTATAAATTTAAGTTAGCGACATAGTTATGTTTAATCTACTTTCCGCCAAATGTCTAATTTCGGTTTGAAGGATAAGATATAGAAGTGAAATTAGTGGGTCTGACTAAAAAAAAATATCTTACAAAATTCATGGATTAGAATGGGTGATCACTTTCCAAAATTGTATGGCGTGATTGAATTTTCCGTCATGTACAATCACTATAGTTTAGATCAATCAAAAACAAAGTAAAAAAACTGATTGTAAGGTACGTTTTTGATAATTTATTATGGTCGTTTTATTAATTTTATAACATCTTTCTATAGTACTCTCATAGTTAACTTGAAATCTAACGATACCTCGTCAATAAAAAAACCATTCGTTAAAGATCCAAAAAATCATCTATCATCATACATACATCAACCTCCAGATGGTTGCTGCGTGGTTCATCTTAACACAAAGAATCCTAGCTTGAGGGCTAGGTGAATGGATGATTGTGTGGTGCTTGTTATTATTGTTACATGTGTATTATACACCCTAACTAGCAACTGGGGTATATATCCTATCAGGTCGACCTCCACGCGGTTCGCCCTCAAAACCATTCTGGTTAAATCTTGTTCAATTCGTCACAATAGGCTAACTGGTCTTCTTTCATCCTCACCCTCAATGCCTCGCCTGTGTATACCGATAGCACAGGCGGGCAGTATTTTATTTAAAACACCCTAAAAATATTACCATCATATTTTCGGTAGTATAGATAATAGAAACAGTACCAACTAAAAAAAAAAATTCAGTTATATGCATAAAAGAACTAACCTGCATAGGCCTTCAGGTATCATTTCCAGTTGGTTATTGGCTGCTGAGAACACTTCTAAATTTCCGAGTTTCCCAATACCAGATGGGATTCCCTCAAAGTCCAATTTGTTATCGTCAACATGCAGTCTTCTCAAATTCTGCAGTTTGCACAAAGACGCAGGGAGAGTGGTTAGCTTATTTCGAGAGAGGTTCAGACTCTCTAGTTTTTGCCATATGTCCATCGCTGTTGAAGTAATATATTTTTAGTAGAAATGTTAAAAAGTTTGAACATGAATTTTAAAAGAGAACAGTTATTTGTATTCATATTAGTGGTAGGTATATTAGTAGCTGAACAATGACATGTTAACATACAAAGTAAAAATAAATAAATAGTAAAAATGTTTATAGGTAAGTGAGAGATGGCAAACCAACGGCACGCGATACAATATTTTGGGCACGTCGCCTATCAAAACGGTTTGCATTACAGTTTCATTTTACTTTAATTTCAATTACGCATATAACTGAAACATTTATTATTATACATTGCAAAGTAATAAATATTCTTCTTCTGATAGTAAATAAAGGTTTTCGAGTTGATAGTATTATTATTTTTCCAATAATCACTAAGTCAAAATTATTTGACGGCCCACTTTCTTTATAAAATATTTCTTTAGAAAAATGGCATTATACATAAAGGTTTGCCACCCCTGAGGTGTTGTTAGTTTGCTCAAAAAACATTAGTAAAAAGTAAGGCAGTAGACTTCTAAGTTTATAAAGGATTTCGTATTAGCAAACAAGCGTACAAGGCATTTGTTAGGTTCTTTAGAGGTACAATGTAACGATAATGATATGAATAAGAAGGAATGGGGTTGAGCAATGTCTAAGGCTACTAGGGAATATTAATGGAAAGTCATTTTATTTCATCTTGACATAAATGGAATCATACATTAATAATAATACATTAATAAATAAATAAACTAGAAATCTTTATTAAAACAGATTTGTTTACAAGTTCTTTTAAATCAGTGTTTTTCAAAGTGTGGGTTGCGACCCCGTCGGGGGTCCCCGAACATCTCTACAAGGGGGTCGCGGAAGCAGTGAAAAATCAACAGTTCCGTAAATACAACTGTACGGATTTCATAATTGTACTATAATAATATTCATATACATTCGAAACCGTGGAGGGTAGGGGGTCGCAAGGTATTTTTACATACTAAGGGCATCGCAAGATATTTTTACATAATAAGGTGGTCGCGTCATGAAAAAGATTGAAAAACACTGTTTTAAACGATAATTTTTTTTATGACTGTATTGTTCAGGATACTGTTCAGGGTTCAGGATGTTGTAATCTGCTGAGAAGAACCCGCAAAAAATTCAAAAGTAAATAGTACTTTTTAAATTAATATGTACAAGATAATTTTACATTTGCATGGGTACTGTGACTATAAATTAGCATAGTTGTGATAATTGTACAAATGCAATAAGCACTGTGTAATTACCTGTTATTACATTGGAAAGTGAAAAGTCTATGCCGATAGTACTCATGCAAAGTGATTTTTATTTGGCTTAATGGTATACTCGCTAATGTGAAAGAGACAATATTTACAATAATATACTTGCATAAATTGATATAAAGGAAAAAAAAAATAGGTCAGTTTGGAACATACCATTTGGATTTTTTTTTTCTCTTTATCTCAATTGGAGATGTATATTCTAAATAATATTAGTACTGTGTGATGTCTTTTTAAATTAGGTTATTGTTTTTTTAGTACACTTTCCTGGGTATAACTGTATCATTTTGTGATATCTATGGTTTATCATATCATATCAACCATTATCCCTCCTCTACTGAACCTAGGCCTCCCCCATATACTCCCATAAGGAATGGTCACTTGTATGCATGACTCTCTGCAATGTATTTGATATTGTCAGTGCATCAAGTAGCGAATCAAGAATGTTTCTTTTCCATCAGTTGCTAGTTGTTTTGAGGTATATATTTATAGATAATAGTTAGCACTTTCCGTCAGGTGGATGCTAGTTATATAAAAAAAAATATACTATTCATAAAAACTACTGCCAAAATCCCCCAAGAGGGAAGCCTATGTTCAGCAATGGACAGTTAACAGCTAATATGATGATTAATAAAAATATTGAATTATTGATTAAAATATTATTACCAGAAGACACTTCTGTAATTTCATTATCACTAAGATTCAGCCTCTTTAAGTTTTGCAAAGAGTACAGTGCATCTGGAACTTTAGTCAAAGAGTTCTTCGATAAATCCACATCTGACAAGTTAGCTAGTGTGTCGAGAGAGGTAGGCAAATTGGCAAGAGTCCGCTGTGTGTTGCGCATGTGCAGAGTCTCTAGACTCTGCAATGAGGGCAGTTGCCTAAAAAAATTAAGTATTATTAAGAAAAATTAAAATAAATCCATTGGCTATGGTACACTTTTTTAAATAATGTAACAGATATTGATGTTTCCTATGGACTCACCTCAACTGGAAAAGACCTAAAGGGTTGTCATTTAGTATCAGAGTCTGTAGATTTGCCAGTCTCCTTGTCTGTGGTGGTAGAGTTTCTAATAAGTTGTTAGACAAGTCAAGAAACAGAAGATCAGTCAATTGTACAAATAGTGTTGGTGGTATACTTTCAATCCTGTAACAAATGACTATTAATTATTATAACATAATAGATGTAATCCATTGTCCTTCTATAAGGTACAACAATAGTGTATAACCTTCCCTTTTTTTTTTTATACAACTTAGAATGGCAAACAAGCTGACGGCTCACCTGATGGAAAGTGGTAACCATCGCCTATAGACATGAGCAGTACCATGGACATAACAGAGTATAGTGTTATCCCATGATACCCCCCGTGCGTTGCCATTCTTGAGGACTCAGGTGTTATTCCTCTGTACCCAGTAAATTCACGCCATATCCCACCCTTCAAACCGAAACACATCCATGCAAACACAACTGCTTCATGGTTGAAACACGAATGGGACAGAGGTACCCAAGCAATCGACTTTTGTACAAAGTCTCCCTCTGGTAAAATTTCATTTAAGATTGGTATATAATAAAATATTTACCTAATGGTGTAATACCAATAGTCCAATAATATTACTATAAAAATATTAAAATAACGCTTATCTAAACAATGGTTAATAAAATTCTGTCTAAGTAACAAAATACTGTTTAGTGCCTGAAGTAATATTTATTCATAATATAATATGCCTTATGTATAAATTTATTATAATAAAATTTATGACTTTAAATATCTTTTATTTTTTATATGACATATTTGTTTAGTTTAGACCTGGACAGATGTTAGACTATGCTTTTGTAGTAAGTCATATAAACATGTATTGAACATCTGCCTGTTGCATGTTTAAATATTTTATGGTAAGGCATTCTTAAAATAGTAGAGTAGTAGTAGAGTGGTTTTCCTCCATATTTTAATATCTCAATTAAATAATACATACTTGTTATGACTAAGGTTCAGAACTAGTAGAGACTTTGCCTTGTCAAGACCTTCAGGCACTTCCTTCAATCTGTTATGGGACAGATCCAGTGTTGTGAGCTCTTCCAACCGAAACAGTTCTGCAGGGATACCTGAGCTTTTCACTTTGTTGTGTCTCACATTTAGAGACCGTAAACATTTCAATTCAGTTAGCTCACCAAATAACTTCTCTAAATCATTCTTCTTGAGAGACAAATTTTCCTAAAAGTTTATATGATGGAATACAAATTTGACCAGTTTATGAAATCCTTTCAAAATTTTCAATGAACATGTAATTAGGCATTTTGTATATATACTGTTATAAATGATATGCTATATAAAAACTTTCGCATTTAGAATATTCAAATAAAAAAATAAAAATAAATAAATGCATTTACTCACCAATTTCATAAGTTTCCCTAATTCTTCGGGAATATCAGTTAAATTAGTTTTATCGAGTCTTAGCCATTGAAGCCCAGTCATATATCGTATAGCGTCGGGAAATTTGTCACCCTAAAATCGAATATTTAGGCCACATTATAAATAGTAAACACAGGTTAGGGATATGATATCATCCTACTGGCACAGTGAATAGGTCAAAGGATCTCATTCCGTTTGTTCAACTTACGCTAAAATCATTGCATGTGAAATCTACACCACGAACAAATGGCAATAAACCTGTATTTGCCATTGTAACTAACATTTACTATGAATACAAATCATAACATTAATACAAGTCTTATTATACGTTATGTGCCACTACTACTGATTGACTGAATGAGACTGATTTAAGCACTTAACTGTCAACTGACTGACTGTTTGACAAGCTGAAGGATTAAATTTAAGACAGATTACACATTATTAAGTGTAAGTGTTAAGTGCACAATATTAAACGTTTAAACAGAAGTATCAAGTAAATCGTAAGTTGATTGTTTTTTAACTCATGTGACAATTAAATTAATTGCTCCAATGGAAATTATAAAGTAATTTCTTATTATGAACCAGCGTCAATAAACTTTAGTATTAGCTATGTACACCGATTTAGGAATTAAAATTGCGGACTGACGCTGTAATGATAAAATGTGTAAAGGTAGCAACATACACCTATCCCGATTATAGGGTGGAAAGGGATTGTTAGTTATGGGCGTGGCAATAGTTGCCACGCTTAGCAGGCGGGTTGACAATCGCAGCTGGGTTGGCGAGCTTTACGAAGCTGTTTATCCCTTAGTCGCCTTTTACGACCATGAGAAGGAATGTGTGGCCGATGTGTGTGCCTACCACATAAGCAAGTTATTAAAAAAAACTGAGCACTAACATTGTTTTTTTTTTTAATAATTCCTGAAGTTTGAAATAAATAAAAAAAAGTCGATACTCACTGATATTAGCTTTAATAACTTTATTGTGAAATTCCTGAAGTTTTAAATAAACGAGATTTGATTGAATGTTTTATATACTGATTTTTGTTTCAAATATAACAATTTTACTTGGCAACTATCGATTTCTTATTTTGACATCCGAAATAACTGCAGATAAATATCGAAGCATATTACTAGGGAAAAGGGTAAAAAATCGTCAAAAATTGCTTTACGTAATACTCGAAAGTCCTCTAAATGATTCAACAAGGAAACAGTGTTTTCCAACAGTACCTTTATTTATACTAATGACTTGAAACAGAATAACTATTATAGACAGACAGGTACACACACCCATTGGTTACATCAATACATAGTAGACTAATTTCTTTTCGTGAAGCCAATGAACAAACCATGTTAAACAGTGATTTCTATATTTAAGCTACAGTATTTACTAAAATTAGATTTAGGTTAAATGCAATTAGAAATAGGTACTTATATATTTTGATTAGGATTTAAAATTAGAATTCGATCTCAGAATGTGATACCCATAGTAATTCATGTTACAGTACTATACATTAAACTAACTAAGATTAAAGCATTCATGATAATTAGGTATCTAAACATAAGTTGAAGACAGTATCTAATTATGTTTTTGAGTAAATTTTGGTATTTTTATCGGGGTATGGGCGGCATATTCGGCATTGGTCCCGACAAGGCAGCATTGGTTCCCAGCAACACCTGTTTTATAAAATTTTTTTATTAAGCAAGTATTTTTATACACTTTTTTATGTCATGTCTACATGGCAGATTATTTTGTTGGTGAATCTGTGGTGACTTCAAATAGGGAAACTAAACACACTACTAAGTAGATCTATTATCTCAAATGTAGATTTCACAGAACAAAAATAAAATGATTATGTACTTTTTAAAAGTTAAAACAACAAGACATGACAGAAAACAATGGTTTTGAGATTGTAAAATGTATTATTAAAAATAATATAAGTGACAGATATAATGTGGATACAATAGACATTCAGAAAAATGACAGAGTAGCTGGCTGGTAAAGTTTCTTTCTTCTTATATCAAAATTGAAAAAGTATTTTAGTTCCATTAATATTGTTGGGTTTAAATGTGCTATATCTTTTTATTAGGTTTTATATATACACTCTGAGTTATATAGAACTATAAATATTTATGTGTTTATTGGATTGTATAATAATAACTTTCATAATAAAATGTAGAATTACCTCTAATATAAAGAAATATTGTAAAACTATTTACCTGTTTCTGTTGAGTTTTCTGCATTTCCTCCATTTGAGCTCTCTCAACTTCAAATATAACAGGTGCAAATAATATCACCGAGGAACTTGCCACTATCCAAAGTACAGAGCGAGAGATCCCATAAAGAGATTTAACTCCAGTCCTGTAAAGGTATATTGTTATTTATAAAAGTACAGAGACATTTTTTTATGGGATATAGTAAGGCAAATAAGTTGATGGTCCAAAAGATGGAAAAAGATATTGTCGCCTATAGATATTAGCAGTACCATAGACATCATAGTACACACTGTGATGCTCACGACTCCCTGACATTGCTTATAACTTATTTATTCCTTGAGCATTTATTTCCTATTGTAAGACAAAAAAAAGTTTTTCATACCTAACTGATACCTCAAGGGGGAAAAGGATTGTTAGTAATGGGGTCTAAAGAACCCATTGCTAGCAATACGGGTGTATCAGGTCGACCTCCACGTGGTTCCCTCTGGAAACCATCATGAACAATTCTTGTTGAATTCGTCACAATGGGCTAACTGACCTGGTTCATCCTCACTTATCATCCTTCACTGGTGCCCCACTGGTGTATACCGATAGCGCAGGTGGTGTTACCATTCCATTGAAAAAAACTGATACCTCAGGTGCACTTGAGGGGATAAGATTGTTCAACTAATATTACACTATACAAGAGAAAATAATTCAAAAAACTCTTCATCAAGCTCTCTAATATTACCACAGAGTGGTACAATTTCCAAGTTTAGGAATGTTACATCCTGATTGCACATATCTTCACAGGAACAAAGGAGTAGTGGAAGTTTTATGGCATTTAAATTGCTATGGCAGTAAAACAATGATGCACTTAATGGTCAAAGAAATTAAATCCTAGCAGTGGATTATGTCATTTATAGTAGTAATTGTATGATAAATAATTTTCATGTCTCATATGTAGTAGTAGACTTTTTTATTATTTTTATAATTCTATTGAATTAGTTTTAATTCAGCAAAGTATATATTTTTACCATGTCTTAGTAGTGACTGTATGTGTGCCATTTCTTACACACTCTGGGAACATTTCAGTCAATCCCCATAATCGTTCTGATAAAGTTTCATCTGGCTCCTGAAAAATGTAAAGTAACATGTTAAATCGAGATAACCTAAATTGCTACATCAAAAGAACCAACAATATCTTTAAATTATTATACTTACAGTTATTTAAAAGCAAAGATAAATTAGTGTAATAATAATAGTAAATGTGATAAGAAATAAACTCACGTCGTCATATTCTTTCAGTGGACCGCTAAGAGGCGTGCTCGCGCTGGGGGAAGATCCTAGCTGCGAAATAAGTAAAACAATTATGACAGACGAATAATAAAGCATGCGACGAAACCTAGTTATTACATACCGATGGTGTTATAAAACTATCTTCGGGTCTACGACTACGTTCTGGGGTATCATCTTTGCTTGTCGTCAAAGATTCCATTCCACTGTCGCTTTGTTCGAACTCATCAGTCAAATCCATAAGCATGTTATGGACTTTAGTTAAATTTATTAAAAAAGAGATAGAGTGTTCGTAACGTTGTGTTTAATTTATGTCTATGAAAAGATAAATTATACTTTTTAATCGTAATCTAAAATTCACCACACCACATAGACAAAGAAAAGACACAGAGAAAGCACCGCATAGGGTAACGATATAGCACAAATTTACAGACTTTTTCACCGTCAACCATAGATTAGAAACTATGTCTAAAGACCGTCAATATTCAGCTATTATATTAAAGATACCAATTTTATAGTTCACGGCAGTATTGTCATTTCGGGGCTAGGTTTTATAAATATATATATATATATAAATATATATATATATATATATATATATATATATATATATATATATATATATATATATATATATATCCAAAATACTTTAATACTTGTGATGACCATTGGAACTGAAGTAATGGTCGGATAACAGCTGATATGAAGGTGAGGATGATATATTTTTTAATGATTGAAATGAGCTGAAAAAAATGTAATGGTAACCCTGCCCATCTTATTACAGTATACGCTGGTGGGGTATTCTAAGAACAAAAAAGTCTTAGGGGTACTGTGAGTGAAGATTGATGAAAAGAAGTCAAGTCGGTTTTTTTATGATTGACAGTAGAGTGGTAACCCCGCCTTCGTTATCGGTATACATTGGTGAGGTATCAGTGAGAGTTAATAGAAGCTGTTGGATTCTATTAATAAGAATCCCTTCTTCATTTACATACGAATGCTTCAGTTAAGAGAATGTATTCTTAGATGAAGCATGTCCTTTTGGACACTTATGTTAAAAGTTTCACTCATATCCTAAGTTTAGCAACAAAAATTTTAGGCGTGGAGCATCTTCCCGCCATTTTTTAAAAACGTTTGGACACTATTTACAGATTATTTACTGAAGATGCAATTATATTATTTAAACTGATGTACCTCATTTAATTATCATGTTATATTATACTATCTGACTGTTTATTAGTTTGATATGGTAAAGTAAAACTGATATCTCTATTGCAATATTATACAGTTTTTTTATTTACAAGAACTAAATAAATTAATTATGTATTTACCTGATATTCAGTCGGAGAACTATAAGTACGAGGGTTTTCTGTGGGCATTTTTTTATGAAAAATAAGTTGATTTCCGTTTGACATCAAAAAAGTCTAAAACCGAAAAAATAAAACAACATTCGAAAAGGTTGTATAATTTACGGAAATTGTAACATTTTTTTCTCTTGATTACTTCAAAGATTACGTATTTAACAAAAAAGAAAAAAACTACATAATATCAATACCAATTTCCTATATTAGAATAGAATTTTATTCTATTCTAGTTGCTATATTGTGCTATAGAGGCAACACTAACGTTTATTTGTTGCTAAGGTTTGCTTATTGCTTTAGTTGATAGAAAAATGAACTGACAACAAATATTGTACAGGAGGAAAGGGATTGTTAACAATGGAGTTTAACAGGCCCATTGCTAGCAATATGTCCTATTAGGTCGACCTTCACGTGGTTCCCCTTGGAAACCATCATGAACAATTCTTGTTGAATTCGTCACGATGGGCTAACTGGTCTGCTTCATTCTCACTTATCATCCTTCACTAGTGTCCTGCCGGTGCATACCGATAGCGCGGGTGGGGTTACTATCCCATTATCACCTATTAAAAAAAATTTGTATAGATAATTTTTGGTTATCGCAAACTGTTTCTTGATTCATAGATTAAGGACTTGTAATATTCATTGTATTGTCATTGTCAAAGTCGTCTCGATATCAATGTCAAATTGTCAAATCATATTGTCAAATAGGAAGGTGAAAGAAAAAATCCATCTCAGATTTTCATTTCAAATGTGATTCTAAGATTTTATTATTTTCAATTTTCAATTACCTTCTAAATCAATTATATATTTTTTTTCGAGAAATTGGTTAGCTAAGCGACTTCGTAAATTGTGAGGTTTTTGTTTGATCAAAATTTTCTTCACTACTATTTTTTACTAGATGTCAGCTACCAATAACTACTAGAGTAAAACGAAATATTTGTGGTCTTTAACTAATTATTTAAAAACATTTATATAGAGGCAAAAATAATATAGAAAAAGTATTCTTTAAAATAGACCCTAATAAATCGTTAATAGTTTATTTGTTGTGTTACATAGAAATTGAAACATTAAATAGAGTGCTACGTTCGGGTCTGTACATCGAAAGTAAGTACCTTCAACGTTTTCTTTTACTCGTTTTCTTGCGACTAGTAAAAAAATCACACAGCTTTTCTTTTGACCAATAAATTCTAATCTTGTTTTCTTAATTTTTTTCACATTTAGATATCCTTAAATATAATTTTTAAATAGTGCAAGTTTAAATTTTTATATTACTTACTAATTAAATACAAATAAAATACAAAAATAAAATTTTGCTATATTACTTAAATTTATTTTAGAAGTATTTATTTTTTTATAATATATATCTAATAAATTAGACATTTCCTTTTGTATTTTTTAATTTGCTTTTGTATTGGGAGATGTAGATATTTAATAATATACCTTCCATAGCCTCCATAGAATTGTCTGGTGGTTTATCCCTACTCTAGGATTTGATCAGACAGATGGTACATATATGGTTTTTCTGAGAGTCCAGCCCTTGCTGGAAAATCTTAAATATGTCAATGACAACAAGCAGAATTGTATTCTGTAGAAAAATAAAAAGAAATTTTCACAATTGAAGCAGATGTCAAGTAATTGTGTCAATTTGTGTGATCTACATGGGTAGTAAATTCTATCAATTATAAAAACATGTATGTGGTTCAAAATTGGCAAAGATTTCACAATATATATATATATATATATTTTTTTATGCAACTTAGAATGACAAACAAGCTGACGGCTCACCTGATGGAAAGTGGTAACCGTCGCCTATAGACATGAGCAGTACCATGGACATAGCAGACTATACTGTTTCACCCATGATACCCCCCATGCGTTGCCATTCCTGAGGACTCAGGTGTTATTCCTCTGTACCCTTCTGTCTGTAATTTGCCTATGTATGTTTACATACATAGGCAAATTACAATTTTCTTTCTTTTAGGAGTCTTAAAAATAAGATTTTGTGAACTAAGTAAGTGGAGGTACTTACTAAATTTTTAATAAGGAACTTGGTAATCACATACATTGTTTTTTTTTTTTTGTTAAATACTTATTTATGCATATTAAAGGTATTCTTTATTTGTTAGTAATAAGTTTATATTTGCACTAAATTTAAAAAAAAGTATTAATGGCTTTCAAAGCCTTTCATTAATTCTTCCTTTGTAAAATATGCGATGTCATTGACCTGTAATGTAAAACCTAAATGTATACAAAGACTGCTCATCTAAATTATACCAATATTACAAATTTGAAAGTTTGTTAAATGTTTGTTACTTAAACAGCTAAGCTTAAGGATTTGAATGAAAATTGGTACACAAGTAGGTTACATCCTAACTTAACATTTAGGGATACTGATGTAATATACAGGTACAATGCAGGAAGACTTTCAGCAAACAATTTTTTTCTTATGGAATAATTTATTTTTATAGGCACATGTGAACAGTTAACAAACTGGAGCGAACAGAGAGAAAGAATGTTACAAGTTTTAATACAATATATATATATATATATATATATATATATATATATATATATATATATATATATATATATATATATATATATATATATATATATATATATATAGGCATAGACCATAATCATATACAGCCATGGGTGTGAGAGTGTGCTCTATTTTAGGTTACAACAGATACTTTATATATTGATTCACATGTGCAAATCCTCAGGAAATAGTTATAAATAAAGGGTAAGGTTTTTCTAATACAGCTGTACCTAAAGTAATACCTTAATTATTTTAATCATCATTTATTCATCAATCATTTATTTATTTATTTTTAACTTTATTGCACTATTTATAAAATAGTAAATATAGTTAATTTTAATGAGAAGTGATACAAAAGATGGCCTTATCACTAAGCAATTGTTAATCAATCATCATCATTATTATAATCACAGCCATTATTATATTAAAATGAATACTGCTGAACATTGGTTCCCCTGTAAAGGAGGGTTTTGCCAGTAGTTGCCATGATTGGCAGGTGGGTTGATAACTACAGTTTTTTTTAATGGGTGAAAATGGTATGGTAACCCTGCCTGCGCTAATGGGATACGTTGGCAGAGCATCAGTGAAGGGTGATAGATGAGAATGAAAACAGGCCAGTTAGCCCATCATGATGAATTCATCAGGAATTAACCATGATAGTTTCCAGGGGGAACTGCGAGGAGGTCGACCTGGTTGGGTATATTGCTAGCAATAGGATTCTCAGTCTCCATTACTAACAATCCCTTTCCCCCTGATAACTATAGTTAGCCATTGGTAGTTTTGAGAGGGATGCAGCTGCCTATTCCTCAAACATTAAGTTCCGTAAGTCACCTTTTACAACATCCACTGAAAAGGAAGGGGTGCGTCATTCTATGCTGGGACCACATCACAATTATTTCAATTTATTTACATAAATATAAATAATTTTAGAATAAACAGTATTTCAGGTGTTCACCCAGATGATGGTTATAAGGTCCATCTATGTGTAAATTTTTTTCCAAATTCTTTTTATGGTGTTCAAGGAATTAATATTAAAATATAATTGTTGTAATATCAGTAGGATTAATTAAAAGATCTACAACTACCTAATTTGTAGTTAATTTAACAAAATTTGGATTTTCCTTGATATGTGATAGGTAAATATAATTTGGTTAATATGGCCGTTATGATAGGTATTTCTGCTAAGAATATAATGTGTAGGTATCCAAAATAACTCCGTGCTGCCGCTGCGCTGTTGAAGTGCCGGTGCCGCCTAGAGATGGGCAATCCACCTGGGTGGGTTTAAAGTCTGGTGGGTAAAAACCGGGTGTTTTGGGTTTATTGGGTTTAAACCCCATAAACACCCAAATTTTTGGGTGTTTATGATTTTGTACTTCATCATCGTCATCTCAGCCGCAAGACGTCCACTATACTGGACATAGACAATATTATTATGCAGCCTACAGAATAAAAAACTTTTAATTTGATTTTGAGTTTATTAAGAAAGAGATGAAAGTAAAATGTAAAACTACAGTCAATCACTGTCAGATTCAGAGTTATTACAAGCGATGAATTGTATAGGTTCGATAGGCTCTATTTCGTCTAAACTGTTATGTTCATTTACTTGCTCAATGAAAGCTTCTAAGGTATTTTCTTCATTAAACTGAATGTCCTCGCATTCAGCTTTATGTTTAAGATTCCAGTTATAACAAATGAATGAAATTTTTTCAGTTCTTTCAGTTGTAAGTCGATTTCTTTTGTTATTATGTATGTAGCCTTGGATACTAAAGGAACGCTCAGTGGCTGCCGAAGTACAGGGAGCTGATAGAATACGAATCGCTACTTTGCTTAACTCAGTGGAACCACAAATACCTTTCCACCATATTAGGGGCTCAATGCTATCTAATGAGCTCCATACAAATCCTCTGGCCCAAAAGTTTTCTTTAGCTTTATAACACGCCAAATCTGCCATTACATTTGACAAACTTAAGTGTTGGCTTAAATTGTAGATAAACTCCATACCCTTAAGTTCTTCCTCTTGAGTAAGTTCGACTCCTAGAGTCCTGGGGTCTAGAATATATGCTGCAAAATGTATTGGCCTCATTGCCATATTGCATCTTGAAGATACTGATGTTAGAATCTGCTGTTTGCTTTCTTCGCTCAATGTCGAAATCTCATTTAATGCAAAACGTATCTTAGCTTGTACATCTCTAAATGTAATGTATGTGCGATGCAAACGATTCTGGTCGCTCTCTAAGTAAAATATGCTTTCAGTGACTGGTTCCAAAATACTTATACATTCCCCTGTCTTCGTCCAGAAATCATCACTTAGAATTAAATCTTTAATATCTCTTGAAATTACCACATCTTCTCTAACTGTTAATATTTGCAAAGCTATCTTATTTGCTTTCAAACTTTTTAACGAAGTAACATGACTTCCCCATCTTGTAGCACAAGGCAATTTTAGTGTTTGTGTAGAATCTTCACCCTGCCTTGATTTTATCAACAAGGAACTTAATCGTTGACTCCTTTTAACAGTTTTTATTATATTTATGGCTTGCATAATAAACACAGTTACTTCTTGTATCTTTACAATATCTTGGCACAACAAGTTAAGGATATGTGCACAGCAACCGAGAGGAACAACATGTGGATATTTGAGTTTTGTTAATTCGAATGCCTTTTGTATATTTCTAGCGTTATCGCCAATAAGTACAAGAAACTTATTTGCTCCATACACTTTCATTACTTTTTCAACTTCTTGGCTAAGGTATTCACTAGTGTGAGGATTACTTTCTGTATTCAAACTTTTAACGTATGCAGGTTGAGGTTTTGATATAAGAAAGTTTATTATTCCTTCATTTCTTAAATTAGACCAGCCATCGCACTGAAGGTGTAAGTAACTACAAGCATTTAGTTCCTCATTTAACTCAAAACGCATTTCTCTATATATTTTATCTAAGTATTTTGTCGCTAAAGCTTTACGTGAAGGTATTTTAAATTTTGGTTGCAATTTTTCGAAAAATTGTATCCATAAAGGATGTTGCACCATCGATAATGGCGTCCCTGTTACAAATATAGCTCTCGCTAATTCTGTTTTTATATGATCATCGGTGTCTTGAAACTCAGCATTTATTGTAGTGTTAGCAGACGACGAGGGGCTTATAAAAGAATCATTTGTCTCTATCTCTGACAGTCCAGACATTTTGGTTTTGGACGAGCTATCTTTTATAAGTTTCATAGAGTCTTTTAATGTTTCTGGAGATTTTGGACAAGTGATAAGATGTTGAAGCATTTTGGCAGCATTACTGAATTTGTAGACCTTATTACAAAGCTTGCAAGAAACAGACTTGTTTGGTAAAGTACGGTAGTGCTCCCATATGCGTAAATCTTTAGGTCTCCCCATTGAACCTAAAAAAATGAACGATGATTAGTTGGTCTGACGAAAATTCAACAATAGAGTGCCTATTTTTTTACAATGATTATTTCTTGTTATTTACAATAAATTTATTAAAAAAATAATAAAATAAATACAAAAAACCTTTGTAAAATTACATCTCCTCGGAGGATTAAACGCAGACGCTAGTTTATTATCGTATTGTTCTGTATTTTTCTCAGCAACTTCTTTAATTCGATTAGGTACTTACGCATATTATGTTAAAAATAAATATCTAGTACACATCTTAGGCTATCCACCATTATTATCCAATGACGACTCTCAGCTAACTATGCACTATCATCCAAAATAAACGTGTATGGAAAATTTTATCCCAGTCGGTTGAGGATTGAGGATAATTGCATCAACATACGAACATACCTACATACTTTTATTTACATAACGCAAGCTAAATAAAAGCTTGTAATAATACATCTAATTTTAAGTTAAAATTGTTAAGTGATCATGATATAATTGTATCATTCAAAAATCCACTTACCTTTAATTATTTCTTGTTAAGTATAAATATTATTTCAAATCTGCTCCCTTAATATGCACTTTTTTACTGCTTTTCCTACCTAACACGTTACCAGGAAGTCACGTTACCAGAGTCAGAGTAATAGTGAACACGTTTGACAGTGATTGTCGTCGCCTCATATTCAGCGTCGACGAATAGGGGAATCCCCAGTCATAATGTATTGCATGCGTGGCGGTCTTACTTCAAATCCATAAACAAAGAGATAATTACAGAACTCGATACTAGATGGCGCTGTTTTTGTTTGAAGAAAGTTTGCGGGCTAAAATACATAGAATTTCATCAATGACTTCCACAAAGAACAACATTTCTGTTTTTTCTAAGTCCGTATCTCTTCCGTATATTTCATAAGATATAAGCTTGGGCTACATTGTTATGCAACGTGATTTTGTCGCTGTCTTGCTAGCAGGGTTGACAGATATACGATTTAAATCGTACTCATACTATTATTTGTCTATTTTTTAATGTACGATCGTAAAGATTATGATCGTAATTCGCACAAAAACATACGACTTTTTGGTTACCTGGCAACATTTTTATTATGAAACGAACATGCTCACATCATCAGTCACATGCAACAATTTATTGGGGATTTCCCCTTCACATCTGGCAGTCCTGCTTGCTAGAATATAGGTAAGTCAGCCACAGTTACTGACGATCGATATTTAAAGGGTATTGTTTTTGTGCTAAATATTTCATAAAAACGTTATTTAATACTTTGTGGATTATTAATTTAGTTGATAATCACTGGAAGTAAAATGGATGCTAATTTGAGAGATCAAGATCTTCGTATAAAACAGTTAATAAAAGAAAATCTACGTAAGTACTCTTTTTATACCTAGGTAGGTAAGGTATAATAAACACAAAAGGTACTTAGATCGCGTGTGTTCGAAGCATTTATTCTAATAAATTTAATTTAAAATTGTAGAAAGAAAAAAATGTCTGCCAAGCCGTAGCCGAAGCCGATCTCCAAATATATTTGGCGATAGTGAGACCCAGTGTCCAGATGATTTACCCAGCGTCGTCGCAACAAAGAAAAAAACGAGGATAAAGTAAAAGAAAATTTACTGAAAGAAGAAACAAACTGTTCTAAATGCTTAATTTATGGAGAAGAGGATAAAAGAAATGAGTATTTCGGACTGTTAGTGGCTCAAGAATTTAAATATATACGGCCATGTGTGCGAACGAGGTGTTATGAAGAAATTTTAAAGTATCTACGGGAAGCAAAAGGCCAACATGTTGATCAACTGCAACATGAAAACACTGAAAATTAATTACTTTCATTTTATTATATATAGATTTTTAAAATTTCCTGAAATATTATTAGTTAACGTTTTATTTAATATTGTAGAATTGATCAATACAATTTATAAAAATAATTTATTGGTATTACTTACATATTTTCAAAAAAATACGTAAAAACCTATTTTTTTGGGTGATTATGGGAGTTTATGGGTGTTTATTGGGTTTTTACCAAAGCACCGGGTTTAAACCCGGTGCTTTGCCCATCTGTAGTGCCGCCGAATAATTATAATCTCATTTGTATTGCCAAAAACACAGTGCTACCACAGTGTAGGAAAGAGTTCTTTACACTGTTGTTCTACTGTAAAGTGTATTTCTATTGAACTTGGTCAATGAAAAATCATTTTTCGTAAACAATTACACAGTTTTAAATATTTCTGAACTAGCTTTCACTAGCGACTTCATATGTGTAACTGGGATGAAAAGCTATGTCCTTTTCCAACCCAAATAGGTATACTAAATTATATGATGATTAGTACGCAGAAGCGTTAGTATTTATGCAATATTTACTTTCATCACGGTCGTAAAAACAACTGAATTGAAACTAATAGTAGTTGAGAAATATTTTTTTTATAAAACATTATTTATCCGCTCGCATCGCGCCTAATCTAATTATATAGCAATAAAGCACAATTCGACGTTTTTTTCAACCGATTTCAATAAGAAGGAGGTTCTCAATTCGGTTGTATTTATTTATGTTTATTACTTCATAACTCTGCTAGTAATAAACTAATTTAGAATATTCTTTTTTTTTTATCTGAAAGTATAAATATCGTCATAGTCGTAGAATACTGACGGTTCTGACAAATATTACATATAAAGATCTGTCAGTATTCTACGACTATGACGATATATTTACAGATTGGTCCCATAGAATTTTTACCAAAATCGGTTCAGTAATTTAATTTTTAAATCAAAATAATTAGTTTTCTCACAATTGAAGTCGGTTTTTTGTGTCACATTTTCTTTATTTATATATAACTTAATACGTAACGCAATATCTAGATAGGAATAAGATTAACAAACCGATTCAATATCTACAAACTAAATTATGATTAGGACCTGTAAACCCGTTTGAAATATCGCGTAGTTAAAGTAATATTAAATTATAGTAGAGTTCAGAATCTCCTATTTCTGAAATTGGTTTAAAATTCGTATAATAGATTTTCTTCCACAAAAAAAAAATACCGACTTGTAGCAAAATCAGTTATTTCTATTTAAAATCGAAAATACTGGACCGACTTTGATACAATTTTTGTGGGACCAACAGATATCCAAATCAGTTTACAAATGATGGAGTTCTAAAGTAACAAACATAAAAATGCAACTGTATTAACTATCTCCTCCTAAATTGAGTAACATAAATTAGTTATGCAACTAACATTACTTGCTTGTAGTTTTCGCATAATAACAGTCTGTATGCCATTTGATTATTTTTAAGCGATCAAGTTTTACTAGATCGATTTTGATGAAATAGTGTAGAAAGCAAAATTAGGTATAAAATTATTAGAGCAACATCAAGATTTTTGTGTGGTAAAAGTTGTAGGTATCACGTAGGGTAATAAAGTACGTGGTAAAGGCGTAAAATTTATGTGCAAGGTTGGATCAAAATGCACCCTTCACTATTGCAACACTGTTGGGCAAAGCGCATTGTTATCATTGTTTGTTGTTTGTTGTCATTCGTCATAAAAGATTGTATATGAGTTCTTCATTGATTTTTTTTTACGAATATATTAACAATTTGTTGGCTTATTTGATGGAATATAGAAAAATAGGTACAAGAAATGTACAAAAAATATCCCAAGATGCATATATCTACCAAAAAAGGACACTGAAAGTAGACTACATTTAACCAAATTATGAAATCAATTCTAACCATCCAGTGATATTTGTAATTTTAGATTTTGAATTAGATGATTAGATGATGATTTGATTTTGAATATAGACAAATGGGGGGGGGGGGGGTATCATGGGCGAATCAGTATATTTTGTTATTTCCGTGGTACTGCTCATGTCTATAGGCAACGGTTACCACATTGCATCAGGTGGGCCGTCAGAATGTTTGCCATTCTAGGTTGCATAAAAAAAAAGACAAACGTTCTAAAATATTTTTATATCACTAGTTAAACTTCACTCATTTCGTATCGTGTCAATGTATGTATGTATGTAATATGTAGTAATAATATTTATTCTTATTCGTATTAAATGCACCATCTATTTATATTACATTATATAACGGTTGGTTGGTAGAGGACACCATTAGGTCTTAAGTCCGCCATACATACACTTACTTATATAATTGTACATTGAAGTTTAAATAAATAATAGATAATTTCTAAAACAATCCCTTTAGTTCATTCAAGTGTTGCGTCACGTGATAACGTCCGCTGTGTACTAGAATAGCGACACTTGTACGATTTCTATAGCTGCATAAGTATAGTTTTATTTGCTTACTCAACACTTCCGTTGAACACGACACTCGCACTCGGTGCATTTATTATTTACCTATCCCACGATAGGCTCATGTGATGTTTTTGTAATTTTTGCTTTACTCAAATAGAAGATTTAAAAAGCATTTACAATACTATTTAAATGGCACACATTTAATAAAAAAAAGGCAATTTTAATTTTCCTTACCAATTTACATATTTTCAACCAACTTAAAAAGATGGAGGTTTTCAATTCGATTGTATATTTTTTTATTCTGTCAGTTGTAAACCGATTTGGATAATTCTTTTTTTCTTTGACAGGATATAGTTGCAGATTGGTGCCTTAGAGATTTTATCAAAATTGGTTTAGTAGTTTAGTTTTTAAATCAAAATAACTGGTTTGGCTACAATTGAAGTTTTTTTTTTGTAGAATTCAATTTAGTTAAAGTACTTAATTTTGAAATCGTTGTTCAAATTACGAATTCTTCTCGAAGTGAAAAGATATTGGTCAACATCAAATGCAAAATTACTCGTAGATTTTTTGATATTTATATGAATAGGAGATTGATCTGTTTCCTAAAAATAGTATCTCCAAGTCTCTAATACTCCACTATCGGCGGACAAAGGAAGTGGTGTAGGTATATCAAGCCCTTGGCACTCGATTCTCTCTACCTACTCTGTGAGAATTTTACAGAGTTAATTTTGTACTATCGTTGTTGTGTTGAAACTTCATAATGTAGGTATATTTCCTTACAATTAATGTAATGTGTGCCTTCAAGATATTGCCGTGTGATCTCGGCATAGAGTGGGTCACATCTTCCTTTCCTGTGAGTGTCGTAAGAGGCGACTAAGGCGTTCAGCTTCCCTTTTAAAACATCACTAAAAGTCAAACTGCGGTTGCTAACCCGCCTGCCAAGCGTGGCAACTATTGGCAAAATTCTCCTATGATAAACTGTTATAAGGAATGGCCTCGTTCCTTATGACAGTCTTTGGGGAGGTCTATGTCCAACAGTGGTCAGATAACGGCTGGTATGTGGGAGAAGTATTGTTAGTAATGGGGACGTTAATCCCCATTACTAAGCAATATACCCTGTCAGGTTGATCTCCACATGGTACCCCCTGGAAGCTATTGTTATGAATTATTGTTAAATCCAACTGATCTGACTTCATCCTCACCTATCATTCTTCACTGGGATACGCCATTGTATAGTGATAGCGCGGGCGGGGTTACTATTTCATTATCATCCACTCAAAAATGGCTGTAATGATGATGACGATGATGATGTGTCTTTAAGATGTGATCTATTTGTATACCAAATTTCATTTAAATCTGTTCAGCTGTTTATACGTAAAATTCAGTAGCAAACATCAATACGTCAACATTTTTACAATATAATATAATAAGCATAGGCATAGGCAGCGGGACTGCTAGACTTTTTTGGGTTCAAGTAGCGTGTTTGAGTATTGATTGAATTTTCTCACCCGTATTGTTATTATGGATTCTCGCCACTTGGCGTGTGACCCTGTTTTTATTACTTTGTGATGTTTTCCAAGTTTTCCCTATTGATACAGTCACGGCTTTTCCGGTTTCGTTATCTCGTTTGCATGATAGCTTAGCCTGAATGAAAATATTTTCCTATTGTATTTGAGTCTACTTACCGTATCTTTACTAATAATACAAATATGAATGTAAATTTGCGTATCTGTTACCTTTTTGCAGCGAAACTATTAGACCGATTTGGATGTTTGGCAAACAGAGCTATGTTTGAGCCCAAGAGTAAACGTAGGGCGTGTAACGTCATAAAGAATTTCACGCGGAAGAAGTCGTGGTTATCATCTTTGATCGCTTAAAGTTTATAATTATCGAAGGTATTAAACATAAGTATTGCACTGTGTAATATTTTCTTGCATAGTATTACGCCTTAACTATAACTATATTGACAATTGATAAATTAATTTTTAATATTAATTAAAATATATTGACTACTAGCGATCTATCCCTGTCGCACGGGTAGATTAAAAGATTTGTTTTATATTGGCTTTTATCTAAAGTATCAAAAATATGCATTTTGGCTAGTTTAAGTTACATTATTGTAACTTTTGTAGGGATCTCTATATTTTTAAAAATAATATATAGTCTGTGTTATTCACTGATATTGTAGGTTTCTACAGGTGAAAGAATTTTTAAAATTGGTTGTGTAGTTTTTGAGTTTATCCATTACAAACAAACATATACAAAAAACT